TCACAACCCCAGCCGAAGTCAGATCCCCCTACCCCACGGAGCCACCCAGGCACCCCAGAGTGTCCTTCCTTTTTAAGGCTGAGTCTGGATGGCCAGATGTCCGCTGACGGTGGACAGTTGGGTGGTTTCCAGGCCTGGGTGTCGTCGCCCGCAGCTGTGGTGGACGGCCCGCGGGCTGGGCACACCCCTGGCTCCCTACCCTGCGGCTCCACGGGCGTCACCCCAGCGTGGGCCAGGGTGCCGCCTGCTGTTATCAGGTCCCACCAGCGCTGCAGGAAGCCCTCCGCCCCCACCCGGGCGGCCAGGCCTGCAGCCCCGGGAAGCGCGTGAAGGATGCACACTCAACACACACCGTGTGACAACGTTTAAGAAGCCAGAGTGCAGGGAGAGTCACTGGCTCTGTTCCCCAATTTGCTCAGTAAATGCTTTTGCGAGAGGCACGGGGCTATGATTTAATAGGTGGGATCCCCGGCCTCATCGAAGGAATTCCAGGGGGTGGGGGGCGCGCCCCTTTCCTAGCAGGTAGATGCAGAGCCTGTTGCAGGGACCAGGGCTGCCCTTCCCGCAGCGTCGCATCCACGCTCTCCCGCCGCTGCTGCAGCCGCAGGAGGAGCGCGGGGACCTCCCTCGGCCCCGCCCACACCCGCGAGACCACGCCCACACCCGCGAGGCCACGCCCCCTCCTCGGGGGCGGGGACGGACCCGGCCAATCAGAGCTCCCGCGCAATAGGCTCCGCCCCCCCAGGTGAGCGTGTTTTCCCAGACTCCTCCACTTCCGCGGAGGACCCGCGGCGCCGCCGGCCCCCGCGCCCCGCGCGCCCGACACGCCGCACCCCGACAGCCCGCGCCCCGGCTCGTTGGGCCTCACGTCCGCGCGGGAGGCCGGAGGAGGAGGCGTCGGCGCCCTGCGCGGGGCCCCGGGAGCCCGTCGGGAGGGGCGCGCCCGCCGGAAGCCGCGGCCCACCTGCCCGCGGCGCCGGAAGTGGCCGCGGCTGCCCACTTCCGGTCAGCGGGGCGCGCGCGCGCGGGCCGGGGCCGCGGACGGGGGCAGGGCCGGGGCGCCCATGGCGGAGGGCGGCGGCCCCCACGGGCGGGCCGGGCCGGGGCCCGCAGGTAACGTGCGCGCAGCCGCCGGGCCGCGGGGGGCGGGGGGGCCGCGCGGGGCGGGGGCGGCGCCCGGGTCGCTGTGCCCGGGCCGGGGCCGCGCGTCGTGGGCGCCCTGCAGCCCGGCCTTGCTGCCCGGTGGAGCCCGCCGCCCAGCCGCCGCCCAGCCGCCGCCGGCGACGTGAGAGGCCCCCCCGGCTGTCGGGACGGGGCTCGGGTCGTCTTCGGGAAAGCGCCCGGAGCCCGCCGCCTGCCCGGGGCGCCGCGGCACCTGCACGGGCGGGGACAGCGACGGCGGCGGCCGTGACACAGCACGTCCGGGGGCGACAGACGCTCGCGCTCGCGGCCCAGCCCAGCCGAGCGGCCGTCGGACCTAGGGCTTCCACCTTGAGACCCTCCCGCCAAGCGGGCGCGCAGTTGCAGGGCGGGCGGCTGCGCTGTCTGCTCCGTCGGGGACGCGTTCCCTCCTAACCTGTGCTGGGATTCCCTCTGGGTCAGTCTCTGGATTCGCCCCATGTACCAGATGCTTCTATGGGCTCTGGACCTTACACGCGGTCATCATCATCTGGGTCTTTGGAGAGCCCCCCCCCCCCCCCACCTCCTCCAGAGAGCTGATTAGGCTTGGACACTGGTTCAAGGAGCGCTTTTCATCCCTCTCTGTTCATTCTTTGAACAGACTTTTTTTTTTTTTTTTTTTTGCTTCCCCAAAGATTTTATGTGTTTACTCATGAGAGACAGAGAGAGAGAGCAGAGCAAGCAGAGGGAAGCAGGCTCCATGCAGGGAGCCCGACATGGGACTCGAACCCGGGACCTTTTTTTTTCCAAAGATTTTATTTATTTATTCATGACACACACACACACACGCACACACACACACACGCAGAGGCAGAGACACAGGCAGAGAGAGAAGCAGGCTCCATGCAGGGGAGCCTGATGCTGAACTCGATCCTGGGACCTTTTTTCCAAAGATTTTATTTATTTATTCATAAGAGACACAGAGAGGAAGAGAGAGAGAGAGAGAGAGAGAGAGAGAGAGAGGCAGAGACACAGATGTGGGACTTGATTCCAGGACCCTGGGATCATGCTCTGAGCTGAAGGCAGACAGATGCTCAACCGCTGAGCCACCCAGGCGTCCCTCAACAGACATTTATTGAGGAAAGTGCTATTGGCCAGACCGTGCCCTGGCTGGGGACACCCCAGTGAACAGGGGCAGGTCAAACGAAGCCCCTTCTACTATCCTGGGGTTTGGTGGGTACTGACTTTGACCCCAGGGATCAGGACTTTAATGTCTGGATGTCATTTGAGCATGAGAGAGACGTATGGAATAGAGGAGGACTGGGATGGCCCCTTCCCAGTGTAGACGGGGGGTAGTGTGGGAGACAGGCTGCTCTGGCCTGTATGCGGGGCCTCTTACACCTTCGCAGCACTGTTTTGTTATTTACAGTGTTGCAGGCCTGGGAGTGAGGGGCCACAGAGATTTCCAGTTAAGGTCTGAGAGCTCTGTGGAGTTCCTGTGTTGACCGTGAAGAAGCTGGTAGAAAAGCAAACTTGAAGTTATCCTTAGATCTGGAGCTAGGGAAGAGGAGGCTGCACTGAGCTGGACCAGGCGGTGGGTTGAAAAGAAGCCAGCAAAGGGAGGCCCAGAGAAGAGCTTAGCAAACATCTGTGGCTCCCACTTATCTGTCAGTCTTTGCTCTACACGTTCTGAATCGTACTCGCTCCTGCTTTGAGCTTTTTCACTCTGGGGCTTGAAATTGCAGGGGAGCTGCTGTACAAGAGGAGAGCAGCTGGAGGAAGATCGGGGTGGGGGGGCAGCCCTGCAGGTTCCCCGATGCCTGCCTACGTGGTTGTGGGATCAGCCTGGCTGAGCCATGTGTGTGTGAACTCTTGCTGCCCTGCCCACCTACCAGTGAACCGTTGAGTCCTGAAGGGCAAAGAAGCTTATTCATCGCCCCCATTGTACGGTGGTCAGGCCTCCCTTGTACACAGTTGGTATTTAAGAGACATTTACATTTAAAAGACATTACATCCAAATCAAAAGACATTGATTTGGATGTAAAAGCAACTCCATCATTGGAAAGAGCCCACCTGTGGAGGGGTATGCTTTCCATCTGTGCCTGGTCACATGCTGGGAGTGTGCACTCCTACTTTTTCCTTGTGCCCCTGTCTGTAGTGATGTATGCAAAACTCTTGATTATCTGGAGATTGTTTCTGGGCTCCAGTGTGAGCTGGGCTCCAATTACTTGCAAATAGGTGTCTGATTTTACAAATTCATTGACTACTTAATTTTCTTAGCTGTGATGGCTGTGAAGTCCAGGACCAAGGAAGGCACCAGCAGATTCTTTGTCCGACAGGGGTCTGCTTCCTGGTTCATAGGCGGAGTATTTTTGCTTTGTCCTCACACAGAGGGTGTGTGGGAGCTCTCTGGGGTCTCTTTTATAAGGACACCAATCCCATTCATGAAGGCTCTGCTCTCATCCATGCAGTCACCTGCCAAAGTCACTACCTCTTAATACCATCACCTTGGGGGGAGACACATTCAATTTATGGCAACTACTCTTTTATTCCTCACAGATTTCGATACCCATTTATCTTTATACTTAAAGATCTTTTCTGGGCAATTGATTCTGTTTATCTTTTTATTCAAATGAGAATAAGTTCTTTTTAAAAAAGTACTTATTTAGAAGAGACACAGAGAGAGGGGCAGAGACATAGGCAGAGAGGGAAGCAGGCTCCATGCAGGGATCCTGATGTGGGACTCGATCCCAGGACTTCAGGATCATGCCCTGAGCCTAAGGCAGACGCGTAACTGCTGAGCCACCCAGGCGTCCTGAGAATACGTTCTGTTAACCGGTAGGGTAGTGTTTTTTTCCCATGTGTACTAAAAATTAAGTGATTTTCATTCATATTTCCAAATAAACCTTTTTTCTTTTTAAAGTAGGCTCCATGCCTAGCATGCTCTGTGTGTGTGGAGGGGGGGCGGTTTGACCTCAGGACCTGAGATCAAGACCTGAGCTGAGACCAAGAGTCAGACACTTAACCCACTGAGCCACCCAGGCGCCCTCTTCAGATAGACTTTTATAATATTTTTCTCGCATCTCATATAACCCCCCCCCAAAAGAGGTTTGTTAATCTGCTTAATTTACTTGTTGCTATTTAAAATTTTTCTAGCATTGACTCATCTTGTCCAAGCACATGGTATGGTGTCAAGCACTTATCTCTAGTTGTCTTTTTTGTTTTCCAGTTTTCCAGTCTTCATTATGTGAAGCTGGCTTTCTATTTATATGCTTATGTTTTTAAATGTTCCTTCTTCCTGAGGTGTAACCTATATTCAGCAGTGTACCCCTCTTAGGTTACCATCTGATGAGATTCTCCTGGAGACTCCTGTGAGGTCAGTGCCCAGGTCAGCTTGCTGCAGTGACCCATGTTGCAGACAGCAGCATTTGTTTGGCTGCTGAATTTTGCCAGATGCAAGTATCTTTTTGTAACATAGGAGATGATTATATGGTGTGCCCCAGGATTAAGACACTGCTACATTCTTGGGATAGATAGAGTAATGCTATGGTGGATTTTTTGATACCTATTTTAAATTGTCCCTGGCTAGTATTTTATTGAGGATCTTCTGTATTCTTCAGCAGGGTTGACTCATTACCTCCAGCCCCACTTAAAAATTACTACCCTTGTCAGGTTGGTGTCAGGAATGTGCTTGTTTCATTAAGGGAAGCTTTCTATATTTTTCTAAGCACTGGGAGTTTCTGGAGCACGGGAGTGGTTTATTCTTGAGCGCCTGAGCTCGCCCCGGTGTCCAGATGACAAAGGGGCCCACGGCAGAGGGTGCCCCCTATTGCCTGGTGTTGGCAAGGTTTCCCCTAGCTGACAGGAGCCCCTCTCTTCAGTGCAGGTCCTAATCTGAAGGAATGGCTCAGGGAGCAGTTTTGTGACCATCCGCTGGAGCACTGTGAAGACACGAGGCTCCATGATGCAGCCTACGTGGGGGACCTCCAGACCCTCCGGAGCCTGCTGCAAGAGGAGAGCTACCGGAGGTGAGCGCCACTGCTGGGGCCGGGCCAGTACTGCACGAGGCTGTGGTGTGGACTCCTTGGTATGCAGGTGAAGAACCTGATGCTCCCAGTGTCAGAGGACAGGGCCGCAAAGGAGACGGAGGAGGCATGGTCGGACTTGCAGGAGACGGCCAGGCAGTGAGCGTGAGGAGACCTGAGTTCAAATCCAGCTCTGTCCTTGGCCTTTATATTTTCTGGAAACTTCTGGCTCTCTCTGGTGTCAGCTTTCTTGATGTTAGTCTTGAGGGCAGCTCTGTTATTCTCTTGAAGAGTCGTCCTGCCCCCTTCCAAGTCTCCTGGGGCTCTTTACCCTAAGCTGTGTACGTGAGTTCACCTAACTTTGTTATTTTCCCGTGATTATCCCTCTGGGTGCAGACTTCCTGACGTACCCTCCTCCAGCATCTGGTGCCCACTTGTCTGCCTCCGGGGCCTGGGGCTCAGGCCCAGGCCATCATCCCATCACCTGGGGATGTGCTGTGCGCTCACCTTATTTCCTTGTCTGTAGTACCCTGCCTGTTGCCCACTCGATCCTGCCACTTCCTCCAAACCGGCTCAGGCTCTTCCTTGGTAGCAGCGGAGTGTTGATACTACTTTTTTCCCCACCGGGGACCCCTGGGAGAGCACAGAGTCTTCCCTCCTGGTATTCTTGGATTGTTTTGTGGGTCGAAGATTGGAGTCCCAGCTAGCTTAGAAACTGACCTGCAGCCAGAAAGTCCTTCATGCTTGGTGTTTCTGTTTCCCCGTCAGAGTTAGGATGGCAGGGAGTTGACAGAAAAAAATGCCTGCCTGTCAATATTGAAATTAATGCCGCTTTTTATGAATAGCTCCCAAGAGAAGGATTTCTAACAGTATGAGAATGGGTTTCTTTTTTTTTTTTTTAACTTCTAATGTCTTAGCATTATTTCCTCAGAATAGATAACAGTATTTTTTTTTTAAAAAAAAAAAAAGCTCTAAGGATCCAGAAAGGATCGTCCTACAAAGACATCAGATGGATTCTGCATGAATATTTGATGCGAGTGACTCAAGCCCAAAGGAAATCTTAAATTTGCAGATGTAATAGTAGAATAAAAAAATTAGGATAGAGTTCAACTGGGTATTTACGTATTGCTTTTCCAAATGCTTTTTTCCTTCTTATATTTGGGCTTAGTAGATCTGTTTCTAGATGACATTTTCCTGTTGCTGTGTACTTCTTTGACAATGAGTCCTTGGAGTGTTCCTTGGCCTTTCTGGCTAGTGGAAGCCAGTGCACAACTGAAGGAGGAACCCTTGACCCACTCCGTGTTTCCGTGTCACTGCTTCAGTGATGTGGATGGCCAGGCTCGGTGTTCAGAGCTGCATAGGGAGCTGGCTGCTGACGTGGTGGGTCGGTGGACTACACGGCCGTGGCGTTCCTTCACCAGGGAGTCATGGTCTGATTGTCACTTCTGATGAGAGCTGAGTATAGCCAGTTTCCCTCTGTGTTGGCCTTAGTGATTCCTGCAGGCTGTCATTTGTGCTGCGTCACAGGCAGAGGGACCACAGTGGTCACCTGGGCCCAGTGAGGATGCCAAGGCCCCACCTCAAGGCCTTCACAGCTAGTAGCTGGTGGGAAGAGGCCTTGGGACCCTGACACAGATTGCCAGCAGTTGTGCTGCTCTTCATCCTGCATTGTCTCCCTGGGCAGACCCTTCCACTCTTTGTGGAACAAAGAACTTTGGACCAAAAGTCAGGAAATCTGGGATCTTGGCTCTAGTGTTTATTGGTCTGCCTGTGCCTCAGCTTCCTCTGCTTTGGAGTGGGCTCTTCAGATCTGTGCTGCCCCATGCACAGATCCAGCATTTCATAAAACAGAACGCACGTGGAGGCATTCTTGAAGCCTAGGAGTGTCTGAAGAGGTTGCCCCCTGGGTCTCTGTTCCTTGTATGTGCCAGCATGAGAGGGAGCAGAGCAGCTTGTGGGGTTCCCAGCTGCCCTCCCAGCCCGGCCCCCCTGTGTTCTTTCTTAGCCGCATTAACGAGAAGTCCGTCTGGTGCTGCGGCTGGCTCCCCTGCACACCGCTGAGAATCGCGGCCACTGCGGGCCACGGGAACTGTGTGGACTTCCTCATCCGGAAAGGGGCCGAGGTGGATCTCGTGGATGTGAAAGGACAGACTGCCCTGTACGTGGCTGTGGTGAACGGGCACCTGGAGAGCGCCCAGATCCTGCTGGAAGCTGGCGCTGACCCCAACGGAAGCCGGCACCACCGCAGCACCCCCGTCTACCATGCCTCGCGTGTGGGCAGGGCCGACATCCTGAAGGCGCTCATCAGGTCAGTCCTGCCGAGGCCTGGCCACCGTTGCCCTGCACGGGCCCTTGGGGGGACGTGGCCCCATGGCTGGCCTTCCTGGGGCCACACTCTCATCCCCTGTTGCCTGAATTTACTTCTCTCTCTCTGTAAAGTCAGACATGTTGGAAGATTTGTCTGTTAGTCTTTTTAAAGAGCTGCTTCTTAGTGCTGCCTGCCAGTTTTCATTTTTCTGCTGATCGTCTATTTTTATATTTTCCCCATTTTCCTTATTTTAATTTTATTTCTCTCCTTTTTCAGTTGATTATTCATTTTTTTCCCCTGAAGTGTCAACTTTCAACGTTATTAATTCACCTTTCTGTGTAGCTTCGGTCGTATCTGCTGATCTTTCCCCCCATTTTTCAACCAGATATTATCAAAGTCAATTTCTTCTTTGCTCTTATGGTCATGGAAGAGAAAAGTTGGATACACGTTTTTATGAACTACTTTTACTGTATTGGGCTCAGGTAATGTGCAGTGTATAATTTGCATTTGGGGGATTCTTTTGAGTTTTTTACTAATTTTTTTTAATGTCACACGTTAAAAGGTTAGGTTGCTATGGTTACTCGTAATGCCGTACCAACCACGGGTGTTTTATTTGCATAGTGCAGTATGGTAGCCTCGGTGGTGTTCCTCGTGGTCCCTATTTTTTTACATGTTTAACCATCAGATCTGCCCCACGTTCAGAGAAGTCTGTTAGTCTTTAATTGCTGTTGTGATTTGTCAGTTTCCCTTTTTATTTCTAGTATCTTTTTGTTTCCTGTTTGATGCTAAAAGTTGTTGCGTGTGGGTTATGCTCATTATCAAACCAGAAGGTAACTGTAGGTTTTATTGAAGGCCTTTTGTCGCATTTAGTTTTTAACCTTTGTGGGTTTAAGCAGCGCTGTGGGTGTTCACCTTTCTTAGTGGACTGGGTAGGATTCTGTTTTCTCATACATTTAACACTATGACCATAGCTGATGTTAGGTCTGTGTGTCTCTCGGTTTCTCAGCTGCTCCATATTTTGTATCTTTTCTCCATGATCTCTGTTTTCTTTGCTTTCACTTTCTATTATTTTAGATAGTTTATGGTGTTATTTCAATTATAGTAATGGTTACATTTTTAAAGAATTTGAACCAGATTACATTTTCATTTTCTGTGTCTCCAATGACTTCTTTCTACCAAAGATGCTTTTTTTCCCCCCATGTCTTGTTCCGGAGGCATTTCCTGTGGTTGGACAGAGTACAGTTTATTTAGGTAGCCAGTTGCAGTGTGGAAAGGATCGGCTAAGGGTCCTATTTTTGCAGGCCGCAGTGGGGTTAGTTCTGAGGAGCAAGAGACCTGGTGTCTCCTCGCCCAGCGCAGGGCGTACTGAGAGTGTATTTATTACGTGAAACTTTTTTTTTTTTTTTTAAATAACTATGGAATTGGCTCTTGGAAAGACAGACAAGGGTATTATGGTTGTTATATTAGAAGATGATAAAGCTGTGATGCTTTTTTTCCCTTCTCTTTAAGGATTTTTAGCCTGATAATCTAAGCCACCCCGGTCCCATGTCTTTGCATCTTAGAGAATGTAAGTCATTAATTTGGAAATATTTTTGAATAGGATCAATCAATGAAATTTCCTTTTGGTTCCAGAAATCCCTTTAGGCATTTCAGTCAGTTCATGATGCACAACTGCTTTGAATTAACTGCAGGCTTGACTTCCAGAAGTACATATACAGACGCCCTGTTTGAGAAAGTGTGGCTGTTATTAAGACATCTTGTTCTCTTACTGGAGCATAGGACGTTACTATTACAACGAGGTACCAAGAACACATATTTAAAAGTTTTCTATTTTCTAAATTACCAGGTAACTGACTTACTGACTTTTGGAAAATGGGAGTGATATGGTTGATTTACTGAACAAATAATATAATCTAAATAGAATGTCAGCTGTTGCCTTCCTAGGTCCTTGGCCCTGATAATGCAGGGCTCTCTGCTGTCAAGCCGTAATTTGCTGTTTCTCTGCAAGTAAATTGTTTGTTATTTGTAAATTCCCTTGATATATGTTGCTGACTTTTTTAAAGAAGGTAAGGAGTGGTGTTTCTGTATGTGCAAAATTTATATTGATTCACTGAGTTGTCCCAGTGGTTCCTTGCCAGAGATATTAAAAGCAGGAGGGGAATTTTGGAAAATATTCAGGATTAAAATTAACTGGATTCTATCCAGCATATTTTTATGAGTGGATGAAGGGCTGTCTTTCCCATAGTTCAGTAATACCAGATTGTCATATTGCCCAAAAGTACAAACATTTTGGAAGACCTGTTCCTGACAAAGGGAGGAAAAAAAAATATCACTGCTTAAAATCTAGTTCTCTTTTTCTTAATTGATTATGTGAAGTGAAATGGCAGTTTCTGTGTGGTTTGGTCTATGTTTTAGGACACTCCTGTCCGTGCTGGAGTGTCTAGGAGGCTGGGTGATGTTTGTGTTAGTGGTGTCTGATGATGCTACGTGGCATCAGTGGGGAAGCGGACTGGCCTGTGAGCACATTGGTCTGTGTGCCTCTCCTTTCTCTTCTTAGGCCTGTGCTGCCGGAAAGCAGAAGTGTGGGTTTCAGAGAGAAGTTCCTTTGGACATTCAGAATAGTGCTGAGGAGATCGGCAGTAGAATATGATTGCTGGCCAGACATTTATATCAGGGCCTGGAAGATGATGCTCTTTCCTGTGTCCTAGACCCCTGCCTGTCCACTTGTCATCTCTGCTTCTCAGGCTGTCATTTCCTAATTGCAGTGAAACACGTGCCGACAAAACCTGTGTGGCATTGAGGGCTGTCTGGGGTGCTGGAAGCCCAAGGAAGCAGGTGCTGGCTGTCTGGTGTTGACTCAGATGAGAGTTGGGTAAAGCCTGTGGGGCAGTGATCTCACAGGAGCCAGATCCTATCCGGTTGCACAGGATTGCACTTGGGCCCGTTACTGCTGGTGTTCACCTTGATCTTTTGATTAAGGTGGTATCTGTCAGGTTTCTTCACTGTAAAGCTATTCTTTTTCCCCTCTGTAATTATTTAATTCGTATTTTGTGGAGAGGTACCATGCAACACATATATATCATATTTCTCATCAAATTTTTAATTTATTTGTTTATCTGTGTTAGACTTATGGTTCCTCCCTTATCTCAGGAGTTATAATCCCTCATTATTGTTACTTACTTTGATGCTCAGATGGCCTCGGATTTGGCTGCAGGGAGCCCAGCTTTGTCATGACATGTCCCCTGCATCCTTTGAACAGTTCCTTATTTTGTCTTATAACAGCATATTCTAGGCTCATCTAGCGTCATGCCTGTCTTAGCCCTGGAATTAGTCATTTCTCCAAGGAGTCCTGGTTTCTTTTAATGGAGAATGGTATTTAGAAGCCAAGATCTGGATACTGATAGTGTTTATTACATATGGGCTGTTCTGTCCTCAGCTCTCCTATTGGACAGACCCTAAGTTACATATAAACACATTTCTATATCTACATACATTGGCAGTTGAGTTCACCCGGATACTTCTAATCCAGTCTGGTGTCACGGAGGCCTTCCTACTTTTCCCCTTTCCAAATTTATTTGCTTTTCTGACAGAGACCTGGTTCCCCTTATCCTTAACATATATATTTATTTTGCCAGTCCCCCATCTGTAACCAGTCTAATGTTGCTGCTCCCTCTCACACATGACTCCTCATCTCATGTGGGCTAACAATACTCCATGCCAGGCAGCACTTTTAGCAGGCATCCTCTTAGCTTTGCCAGGACTGATTCACTGAGCTAGGCTGCCGTCCGTGCTTGAGTCAGTGGCCTCTGCTTAGATTAAAGAGATCTAGATTGGTAGTTTGCACTTGGGCTGAGAGAACTCCAAATTCTTGAAGTAAGTCACATTTTTGGACTTCCTGGAAGACAAGGGCAGGTCTCTTGTGGGGACCCAGAAGCCTCTGCCTTTTTACAGTCATTTAGAGATCGGCTCTGCTGAAGAATGAGGCTTCCAGGTCAGACTGTTCATGCATCTGTCCCGTGAAAGATGCATTTCCTTACATCTGGGCTGTCAGTGGGCCTCAGAAGAGGAGAGCTCTTGGATGGCCATAAGGATTATCTCAGGGACTGCTGTGAGCACGCTCATGGGGAGGGGAGGCGGGCGGCGGCAAAGGGGATGTTGCATGAAGCTTCCCTGTTGGCAAGCTGTGCTTCCTGTCTTAGGTCCTTCTAGGTCATCTCATGTTGAGAGTGGCCTGGCTATCTGGTTGTTAGGTATAGTTGAAAAGAGGAGCCAACCTGCAGGCAGGACATGATGACACCATCTGGAAACACAGTTGGGTTAAAGTGTTTTGTTTCGTTTTTTTCCTTTTAAGTTTTGTGGATTGTTTTTAATTTGTTTATGACATATATTTACATGGTTCTCAAGTCAAATCTGTAAAACAAAGTATATTAAAAGAAGTCTAACTTCCGTGCTGGTCTCCATCAACCCCCTATAGATGACCTTTTAAAACTTATATGGTTTATTGCTCCATTGTTAAAAAATAAGCATAGTGTCTATGTGTCTAGGTCTGTGTCATAGACAGGTATGTATTGTAACCACTTTCCCTCAGATAAACAGTAGCATGCTACACACTTTCACTGCCCTGCCTTTCTCACTTGTTAAATGTGTTGAGGTCATTCCAGAGCAGTATTTAGTGATACTCCTTACACCTTTTCATAGTGGTTCGGTGCTGCTTTATGTGGATGGACCACAGTTTGTTGAACCAGTCTCCTTTTGAGGGACCTGTGGGTTGTTTCCTGCCTTCCGCTGCTATGGATAAGGTTTTAATGAATTGTGTGCATGCATCTTTTCAGAATTTTGCAAATGTATCTTGGGATTAGATTCCAAGAGTGTGATTGATGGGTCAGAGGGTAAATGCTTATGTAACTTTGCCAGCTCTTGCCAAATGTTTTCCTAGTGGGACTGTTCCATTTTGCATTGCCCCCAGATCTGAATGAGATTTGTTGTTTCTTAAAGCTTGGTCAATAAAATTTTGCTTTTCCCCAGTGTGATAAGTGAGAAGTAGTATCTCAGGGTAGGGTTTGTTTGTTTGTTTTGTTAAGTATAATTGAATATAATTTTATGTTTCAGGTGTAAAAGTAGTTTTAATTTGCATTTGTGCTATGAGTGAGGCTGAGCATCCTTTCAAATGGCTGAGAGATGCCTACCACTGTCAATATCTCTTGCTCATTTTCCTGTAAAACAGTTGATGTTTTCCTTTAAAACAAACAAACAAACAAAAAAGATTTATTTATTTGAGAGAGAGCAAGAGTGAGCATGGGGGAAAGGCAGAGGGAGAGGGGAGTCCCAAGCAGACTCCGTGCTCAATGTGGATCCCAACTTGGGGCTTGATCCCAGGACCTTGTGATCACAACCTGAGCTGAAACCCAGGAGTCGGACACTTAACTGACTGAGCCACCCAGGTGCCCTGATCTTTTCCTTTTATTAGTTCTTTATGTAGTAACGATATTAATCTTTTGTAATATTCCCCCAACTTTTCCACTTACTGTTTTACTTTGCTTATGCTGTTTTTTTGCCATGCAAAAGCTTTTCTTTAAATTTTATGGTAAAAAGCTTTGTTTTGGAGCTCCTGGGTGGCTCAGTGGTTGAGTGTCTGCCTTCAGCTCAGATCATGATCCCGGGGTCCCAGGATCGAGTCCCACATTGGGCTCTCCACAGGGAGCCTGCTTCTCGCTCTGCCTGTGTCTCTGCCTCTCTCTGTGTCTCTCATGAATAAATAAATAAAATCTTTAAAAAAAAAAAAGAAAGAAAAGCTTTGCTTTTTACATCTTTTCTTGTTTGACTTTCCAAAGGAACTTTATAATCAACTTTGTAACTCCAGAGATGTTACTTTTGTTTATTTATATTTATAATCAAGTTATTTAGTTCTAAGAATGGGATTTTCATTTATATAATAAACCTAGGGGAAATTGACCACTTAATAATGTTGAGCCCTCATCTCCAAGGCAGTGGTGGATCTTTCTATTTCTGACGTCTACTTGTGTGACTTTAGTAGTGTTTTTTAACTTCCCTCCTGCAAATTTTGGATGGACATGTACTGTGATATCTCATTTTAAAATTATTTTTATGTCATAAATGAGGTCTTTTTTCCTTTTGTTTTTGAACTTATTTTTGTATGTATGAAGTCTATTGGTTTTATAACTTTATTAGTTAATAAGTTCTCTTATTGCTTATTGTATTTTCATTAATTATTTAGGGCTTTCCAGACATAGTCATATCCTCTGAAAATAGGGAAGAATTTTCCTCTTCCTTTATAATCTTAATCGACTAATTGCTTTCTTTTATCTGATTGCACTAATAACTTTATTTAAAAGGCCTGAATAGGGGCGCCCCGGGTGGCTCGGTTGATTGTCTGACTTTTGATTTTGGCTCAGGTCATGATGCGTTAGGGTCTTGAGGTCAAGTTCTATGTCAGGAAGTCTGCTGCTTTTTCCGCTCTCCCTCTCCCCTGCCTCCCTCAGCCACCTCCCCCAGTCACCCCCACTCCGCGCGTGTGTGTGTGCGCACGTGTGCACACTTTCTCTCTTAAATAAATAAATCTTTAAAATGCCTTAATAATAGTGGGCTAGGTGTAGGCGGCTTGCCCCGGCTTCCATACGAGAGCTGCCCCTTTCCCATAAGGTGAGGTACCAACATCTGGGTTTTATCTTATGAAGGAAATGTCTATCACTTTTTTTTTTTTTGAGTATTTATAAACCTGCATTAGTGTTGAGTTTTGGCCCATGCCTTCTTTTTATCATCTGTAGAGGTAACCATGATTTTCCTCTTAGTTCTGTGAATGTGATGAACTACGTTCTTAGAATTTCTCATATTGGAACCACCCTTGCATTCTTGGAATAACCCTCCTGAGGTCGTGGTAATTGCTTTCTTAATATACTTTGGATTCTCTTTGCTAATTTTTCATTGGAGGTGGTTAAATTGATATTCATAAGTGAAATTAGTTGGTAGGTTTTCTTTTTTTTTTTTTATAGTGTGGCTTTTGTCAGGTTTGGGGATTGTTTTGCTAATTTCATAAAATGAATTTGGAATTTTTCCTTTTTTCCCCTTGGTTTTGAAGTAGTTTAAATAGCCATAAGATTGTCAGCTCCTCACAGGCCTTACAGAGTTCCCTTATGAATTTTTGTGTGAGTGGACTCCAAGTTGTTAATTAGTGTCTTACGTTGCTGGAAGTCGTGAGACCATCGTGGTCTGTGGGGTCTCCTCAGCGGCTCCCCGGTGCTCACAGAGGTCAGGCCTGTCTCCTCAGGGTGTGGTGGGTATCTGTTGACTTTGGCTGATCTCCCACAAGGTCTCATTGTCCCTGTGTCTCCCCTGTAGGTATGGGGCTGACGTCGATGTCAACCACCACCTGACTCCTGACATCCGGCCCCCCTTCTCCCGGCGCCTCACCTCCTTGGTGGTCTGCCCCTTGTATATCAGCGCAGCCTACCACAACCTCCAGTGCTTCCAGCTGCTTCTCCAGGCTGGGGCGAACCCCGACTTCAACTGCAATGGTCCTGTCAACACGCAGGGCTTCTACAGGGGCTCCCCCGGGTGTGTCATGGATGCCGTCCTGCGTCACGGCTGTGAGGCAGCCTTCGTGAGCCTGCTCGTAGAGTTTGGAGCCAACCTGAACCTGGTGAAGTGGGAATCCTTGGGCCCTGAGTCAAGAGGCAGAAGGAAGGTGGACCCCGAGGCCTTGCAAGTCTTTAAAGAGGCCAGAAGTAAGTGGCCTGAGTTCCATTCTGACTTGCAGTCTGTTTGGCTCAACCGAATGAGTCGGGCTGTAGTGATTAAAAAGAAAAAAACCCTTCCAGTGAAGCCCTTAGTCAGAATCTTCAGTCAGGACCAGGAATCTTCCAGACTACTTCCAGATTGGCCTTTTCAAATTCCTAGACACCAAGAGTTGATACAAAGGAATATATAAAAGTGCATGTTCAAAGTTCCTGGAATTATAGTCTCTCTACCCCTCTGCTCTGCTTTGTGACCCCACGTTCCTTCACTTACACATAGTTTCTCCATGTTTGCCTGACGACAAATTGCAAGGCCTTCCTCCTCTAGGGGTCCTCCTTCCCTTTCTTCAGTTCCCACTCAAATACCATTATTTTTATTATGTGATAATGTCTGGTTTTTGTTAGGATAAACTCCCATAGTTGCTTATTTATGAAGAAAGATTTTGCTAGTGAATTAATAAATCGATAGCCAGGTTGTGTGCAGTTGATCTGGGGCTTGGACTTCTTCTCCGAGACTCTGTCCGGGACTCAGAAATTGGCCTTGTGCACCTCCTGTGGGCTGCCGTGGGCCCTCCGTGACCCACCCGTGCCCAGCCTCCTTGCCTGGGTTTTGAGGGCATCTGAGTTGAAAACCTTTTCCCTGACCCTTACCTCTTACAGAACTTCAGTTGATTGTGTTTTTGTTGTTGGGGTCTCCTCAGCCAGTCATTAAAACGTGCTCCCATGAAGCCTTCCCCGAAAGAGTTGGAGAAGTGGTCACTGGAGTCATCCTGGTGGAGCGAAGCTGCCTGGGTTGTGCCTGCTTCACAAGGCAGACATGTGGCTAGGCCGTTTTGACCCAGAGCAAAATTGTCAGCCTGCAGGCCTCATAGAGTGCTCAGCCTGTGTCTCCTGGGTCCCCCTGGACTTTCTGGGATCACCCAGGAGCCGAGGCTGACAGAGGGTGAGGGTCAGTTCACACCTGCCAGCGCCTTCAGTGGTCAGCTCTGATTTCTGTCTAGGAAATTAACCACAGTCAAGGAGGTGCTGTCACAGTGAGCAGGTGGCCCAGGGGGAGATCCCAGCCTTTCCACAGCCGGGCGGAGCAGATGACAAGACCTTCCTCACCAGGGACCGCCCCGTCCACTGTAGAGCTGGGAGCTGGCAGTGAGCGTCAGTGCAGTCCTGCCTGCGGTCGTTGGAGTTAACCTCGCTCCCTCTGTCTCCCTTTCTTCCCACGGCGATCCAGGTGTCCCCAGGACCTTGCTGAGTCTGTGCCGTGTGGCCGTGAGAAGAGTTCTTGGCAAATACCGGCTTCATCTGATTCCCTCGCTGCCTCTGCCAGACCCCATAAAAAAGTTTCTGCTTTATGAGTAGAATTCCGGTGCAGCAGTTGATTGCAGTAAGAAGAAGATGATCTGCCGTGAAAGTTGACGCCGATTCTTGCCCCCGTGAACCACATCCTGTGCTGCTGATGGAATCCCACTTGGCTCCTGGTAAAGCAGAAACCGCCTTGTTCTCATGGACTGTAATTCCATCTCAGGTGCTTGGGGCATCGGACAGTCCTGGGGTCATTGTCAGCTGAAAAGTTCATACAAAATTCCATTTCGTTCTTCCTCACTATCTCTGTTGTGGATTCTCACGGTAGCATGTTAACCAAGTGGGCCTTGCAGTGTGTGTGAGTACGGGCCAAGGTTGGAGGCCTGCTAATGGCTCCAGTGGGGAAGACGCCTAGCACTTTCCAGAACTGTGCTTCTGTTTATATTTTTACTTCTCAGCTTCATTGTTTGATTAAAACCTTCTGACACCTAAATGAAAAGAGAGCTTTGGTTAAAAAAAAAAAAAAAAAAAAAAAAAAGTAGAGTACGGAAATGCAGTTCATGAATTTGCTAGTTTGTTTTCCCTGCTCCTGGGGGTGACATGTGGTATTTGTCTACACACAGCCCTTCCTTGCCACTTCAGTGCCCTCTTCTTGTGGCAGCAGTGTCCTCTGTTAATTGTCTCTAAGAGGGTTTCTTGGCTGCATGGATTGGCTGTGTTAGCTCAGTCAGTACCTGCATCCTTTCAGAGTCTCACGGGATACCCTTTGGCAGCGCTGCACCTGTTCTGATACCTAACTGTGCCTAGTGTCACGCCAGCAGGTCTCATGAATTCTCTACCCCTTCACTTTGGGGAGCTTCCAGACACTGATTGATCTTAGGAGGCCCACACTGAAGATCTAGCCAGGAAAATGACTGCCTCCATTTGGACCAAGGACTGCTCCAACAGCATTCACTGCCAGTTCTAACCGGAGGAAACACCTGTGGCGCTGCCTTCTAGTCCTTGCACACTCCAGGACAGGGGGATTCACTTGCCCTCTGGATGGTTCCAAGCTTCCAGTTGCTTAGTGTCCAGTGAACAACACATCTGGCATTTGGTTGATTGCTCTTTGCCTCTTTGGACCTGATGGCTTTGTAGTTGCTCCTTGAACCTAAGGACGGGGCAGTGAGGTCAGGGGTCTTCCCTTGCCTCCTTGGGGCTGCTGGTAGGTGAGATGAGCTAAGTGATCATCCCCAGGTGTTTGGCTGTGGGCAGGGGTCACTCACATCCCGGCTGTGCAGCTCGGGACTGGCTGTGTCTGTAGAGGTGGGCCATTGGCTGCCTCCTCAGAGCTCTCCAGGTGATGCTGTTTCTTGGGAAACCACATCTGGTAGTTTGAAGCCTCTGATGACCATTGTGTGGAATCGTGGTGATTCTCAGCTTCAGAAGTGTTTAGAAATGGGTAAATTCCAAATCTGAGTTTAGGTTTTCTGTAGTAAGAGAGATCTAATTTGTAATCATTGAATTAATGATGCAGGTTTACTCATGACTGACAGCACTGTATATTTTAGCCGAGGAGACACACAGTGCCTGTCATTGTCTTAGGTGGCTCGGGGATAGAATTCTCAACCCCTCCTCGTGTCATGGATGGCTCTGCCAGAAAGCCAGGCTGTGACCTGTAGGTGCATGCGTGGAGACGGAGGGGAGAAGAGTCCCTTATGATTCGGGGGGAAGACAATCACTGGAGACTCCACGTGGCTTCAGTGACCCTATCACAAGCTGTGGCCATAGTGTAACTGTGGGATGGCTGTCGGACCTGCGATTCGGTGTGTGCGCTGCTGCCGAAGGCCTGGGGGCCCTGGTTGGCTGGGCTTATGCAGAGCTTGGGGCCTGTCAGAGTGACATTGTGAGCTGCAGGTTGTGGGTAGCTGGTGAGGGCCGTTAGAGTCAGAGCCAGGTGCTGTGGCTGAGAAGGGATCAGGGGTGTTCCTTGTGGCACTCGGGGTGGGCCCAGGACCGCAGTGAGGCTGTGGCGGGAGCTTTGGGGAGGTGGGGCTCTGTCTCCACATGGAGAAGTTCGAGCCACCCATGGGTGGACTGAGCCACTGGCAGGGAACTCATGTCACCAGTGGTGTGAAAGCAGTGGCTGGTCATCTTCTTGGTAGGGCTGAGAGAGTGTGGGTGGTAGTTCACCTTACTTTCAGCTCTTCCAACTCTGGGTCCCCTTTCCTCTGCCCTCTTGGCTCAGGTTCTCCCCAGGCACACTCTGCGTCTGCCCCCCTGGGTGCTTTCTGCAGAGGCCCGTTAAGGACCAGGCCTCTCCAGCACTGCCCGGGGTAGACAGTGGCTCTGTCCTGGACCTTCTGGAAAGCAGTGCCTGGGAATGCTGCCAGGTCAGAAGCCTCGTACCTGTAGGCACAACCACCCGGCTGCGCCGAGGCAAGGGCCCAGCAGCATGGTCTTGGGGTCCGTAGCCCAGGGAAGCAAGCGCGGGGCTGATTTCTGGGGGATTGAACGATTTTTCCAGGGTCTCTCTTAAAGGAATGGACTGAGCTGACCCTCACTGCTGTGTCTCCCCCAGACCTGGCCCGGGAGGCGGTGTGAGTCAGGAGCGCAGGGTCAGGAGGTGGGGCCTCTCCTGCTCTGCCCCTGGAGTGTGCTGTGCTCTAGGCCAGCAGCAGGGCACCAGGGCGTCCGCTCTTCCTTTGCAGAGGACACGTCTGCTGTTCAACCAGACTCTGCTGATTCTTTCGGAATCTGGACAGCTTTGAGGCTCACCGTCTAGTCTGAAACTTCATAGCTGCCAAACATGAATCTGGAAACAGTGTACATCGTTGCTTAAGGCCATTCCTACTTGTTGTGAGTAACTTTCCTAAAGCTCCCTTTCTTTCTGTTGGCAAGGATAGGGTAATCATGTTTCTGAGGTGTGGGGCACCAGGTCCCACGTAGCAAGGAAACGTAGTGGTGGTGGTTTGATGAGGCTGCTGCCTGGCAGGCCCCAGAGCCCCGCAAGGAGGGGCACTACAGACCCGTGGGAACGAGCCAGTGTCCCCCCCAGCCTGGTCCCAGGAGTGTCCCGACTCTCCCCTCAAACAGAGTCCTGCTGTAGGCCTTGGCTGCTGTGGACAGGTGGACAGGGATACCTCTGAGAATTCCGCTCTGGCATCCTGGGTGTGGATTTTGAGTGTATTTCCCAAAGCCATCAATGTCACACATAGCTGTGCCTTTTCCTATTACTTATGTTATTTATGTATTTATTTATTTATGTCCTGCCTTGTTCTAGAAAAGGGTTGAAGGCAGTGATGCTTGTTTTTGGGTTTGGTTTTTTTTTTTTTTTTTTTTTTTTTTTTGATGCTTGGTTTTTGATGTTCTGTTTTGACATTTGGGAAGTTTCTGTCCACATGCACCCATTAGGTGATTTTAAAAAGAGGACAATTAGCAGTTTTCTAATGTTGACTATATTTCTGTTCTCAGGCTTAAGTGCCATCCTTTTTTCTTTTTACCTTCTTTCTTGAATTGATTTTTTGAATAAAGGGTTCATGTAGAAGTAGGAGGAGAGGAACATGCAGCAAGCATAGGTGTGAGCAAGGAAAATCAGCCTTAGAGAGAAATGCTTTGCCCATGGTTGTCTGCATGCTGCTGCACGGCCCAGGCAGGCCCCAGGCAGTGTGGAGGCTGCACTCTCACACCTGTACATGCCCACAGGACTTTTGGGAGGACACACGGGAGAACGTGTGTGAGAGCACTTTGTACTGAGCATTCCCTGTGACTGTAAACTGCCCTCGTGACTGCTATCCCTTTCTCAGTGGATAAGCATTTGAGGGGATGGAGGTGCTGGAAGGGCCTGTGACCTTGGGGATCGGGCTTGACCTTGTGTCCCCCCCCTGCCCTCCCCCCCCCCCCCGCCAGGCAGCGATGCTCATGGGGGCCCATAGCATAGGCCTTTGGCACAGAGGGCTCTGTGCACGTCAGTAAGTACAAGGGCACATGTTAAATAACTTATGAGGTCAAGTTTATTCAACCTAGAGGTTTGTATTTTATTTTGAGATAATGTCCTTCCTAACTTGGGTGATAAAATGTACTTTTATGTAACAAAGGTGATAATAGAGGGATATATATATATAAATATATATATATATATATATTTATATATATATATTTTTTTTTTTTTTTTTTTTTTAAATGCTCTTGGCTGTAAGATGAAGATGAAATACTGGCTGTTCTTTGTCAAGCCCCAGAGTTTCTTCTTAAGTTTGCCAGTCTCTGAAGTCCCAGAGCCAGGGAACCACAGTCTAGCTATGGTGTATGTTTACATAATGATGAGAAATTCCTCTTGGATTCTTAAAACAGCCTGTTTATGTTGTTGAAGGCTCTCACAGCATTTCTGCTGCCTGGTAGTCTAAGAGTAAGCTCTGAGGTCACCACATGTGGTGTTGGAGGGTCATGCTTATGTCCTGGCGGTGGCAGAACCGCCCTGTGGGGTACGCATCAAGCCATTCCTGGGTCTATGAGAAACACTGTCTGGGAGTACTGCGTGGCCTTCTCAGTGGGGCCCGCCCTTACCTCAGGCCTCGGGGCCTGTGGCACCCCTGAGCGCCTGGGGCACGTTGCATGTTGGTGATGGCGCTAATAGCAGGCCTTCTGGGGCTGAGGCTTCAGGCTTCCGCCCTGCCCCTTTGGCCGCCTGCCCAGGCGCACGGTGACCAGTCCTCAGTGGTCTGGGCTCCCCACCAACTCCTATCTACTTGCTGAAAGTGCCTCATGTGGCCATGTGACCTTTCTCCCTGACTTACTTTTATCTCCTTCCCAACCCCCTACAGCCTGACCCCTCGGTGTGGAATAAAATAACTGGTGTGCACTCTTAGTGGTTAGTGGGCTTGTCTCAGGAGAGTTCCACGGGAGGGCCACGCAGACCTTGGAGTGTAGTGATGTACAGAAATACACTTTATGATCCTAGGCAGACAAGCCGACGGAGCAGTGAGGCGGGGAGCAGGGGTCACTTCTGTTGCCTTAACATGTAATCACCCAGTGTCTGGAATACATGGGCAGCCTTTTTGTTGTTGTTGTTTTGATTTCAGATCTCCATCAAGTAATGTACGAATGTGTGTAAATGCAGCTTGAGTGTGGTGTTTGTGAACACAGCTTCTTGTACCTCTGAAGTCACAGCTTCCTGCTGTGCTCTAGCCCCAGCGTGCCCGCTCAGCTCTGCAGTGTTGGCACAGTGCTTGGTTGGTGGTGGGCATGAGAGTGTGACCCGCAGGGGCCTGTGTGCGTGGAGACATGCTGCAGGGAGTGTTCGCCATAGTCCCTGCGTGTCCCTTCCGCTCCGGTAACGAATGTGTGTTTGCCCTCTGCTGCTGGGACGGCGACTGTTCTTGCACTTGTGCCTGGTGAAGAGTTTTCACAAGTATGATGGGCATCTTTGATATGTTATTGTAACTTTAATAAACGCTTTATTACCCTTTAACTCAACCCCCATCCTCAATGCCTTACTTTTTTGGATTGTTTATCTCAACGGGTAGAAATCGGTCTTGTGAAATCTTTGAATACACATTTCAGCCACGTGATGGGCTCCTTGGAAAGTTTGGAATGATATGGAGAGAGGAACTTTTTTGAACCGCTCTGAGGGATCTTGGCATTCTAGGGAGGCACCCAGAATGTGGCACAGATTTAAACTTCCGGCCAAGCCTGTTTTACTTAGTGGGGTTTCCAGTTTGAAGAGAACGTGCCCTTAAAGTGTTTGAAACCCATGGCTTTCAAGCAGAGCGAACTGTCCCTGTGGGGCTCTGCAGGGGGAGGCGGTGGAGAGCTGTGGGCAAAACCATTGTTTCTGGGTCTCTGTTACATGTGGCTTACTTTGACAGCGGGAGGGTGAGGTATGAAGCTTTGGGATGAACCCAGCAGGGAAGGAACTAAATAAAAACATGTATGCATATCTCAGAGACCACTAGGATGCTCCCTGTGCCTGCTGTCTCGGATACCTTCTTCATTCCTCGCATCCTGGCCACTCCCCACCCCCAGCTGCACACACACCACTCCTGCTCGGACGGAAGGGTGGTTTCACTTTCTGTCCCAAACCAGCTCAATTTGTGTGGCAGAGATGAGTGGTTTTCCTGCACTGTCCAGTTTTCATGTGTGATAACAAAGCCCACAGTTTCAGCTGGACACTTAAATTCCCAGATTAGCCTCTGTACAGTGGCCATTTGCCATAATTCCTTTCTGAAATCCCATTTAAGTGACAGGGGAGTTTTACTTTTTAAAAAATGTACAAATCCACTAAGATGACTGAATAGCAACAACATTTAGGGATCAACCTCTCAAGAAAACGGATGATGGTAACTGGTACAGAAACATCTGAGATAACCACCTTGTAAGAAGAAGTGAGAGTATCTGAGAATCTGATTTCACTGCAGAGCTCCCAAAGGCCCTGGAATTAGCAGCTCAGGTACCTTTGAAGTGGCTGTGGGTGAAAGCGGGAGGACTGGCCAAGAGCCAGGAAAGTGGGTGGGCTGTGGGAGGACTGGCCAAGAGCCAGGTTGAGACGTAGTCCTGACCCTGCTGCACACAGTTGGGCAGTGGTACTTGCCCCAACCCAGTGCAAGTGTGAAAGGAAGTGTGCCACATTCAGCCTTCCGTACATCAACTCTTCAGCCGGGTATCAGGGAAAGACGCTTCTCGGGGAATCCCACCAGCCTAATGTATAGAACCAGATTAAAATGGAGTCCCTTAGGTCAGGGATGGAGTGGAGGCCATCCCTGCAGGCCTGTCAAGGAAACAACCTTACAGGAATTGAAGGCTCTTCCCAGAAGTCAGCAGAGGACGACACCAGCCAGGCCCCGAATGCTGGGTCTGTCACTCTGCCGTTGGACTTCTTGTTCCCTAGCCCAGCTACCCCGTCCACGTAAGAAAGGACACCACTAGACAACCAATCAGCTGAAAAAACAAAGTGCCTTTCATATTTGTTCCATTAAAGCCTCTTAGCCTGTAAGCAACCAGGAACTCATTGCTTTTGTAGCTGTGGGCTACCTGGTTCGCAGGCCGACAGCCCTGCAACAGACCCTGTCTTAGTTTAGTATGCAGTTTGGATTTTGACAAAGACCTAACGTACCAATACTGAAGGTGGCCAATCAAATGGTCACATGTCTTACAGTGGATTCCAACAGATGAAAATTCTGAGAACAAAGGGCAACGTTTCCAGACGACAGCAGAGCACTAACACAATGGAAGAAGACTTGCCAACACACATCACTGAAATTTCAGAACTGGAGAGGAGATCGTCTAACTTCTGGAGAGACTATAACAGGACATGTACAAAGTGTCAGGTGTCAGAACAGCTCTGGAGTCGTCACATGCCACCCTGGGCCACGGAGGAGTGCGGGCCTTCACCTGCGTAATTCTGAAGGGAGTATTTTCAGCTAGGCTAGAAGCCAAGCTAAAGACTTGTAGTATCTTTAAAAATTTATGTTCCATGTACCTTTGGAGGCTGTACTCCTCCCCAAGAAAGAGGACAACATGGTGTCCAGCAAGAGGGCAGCCCACGCCGGGAGGCCAGGCGGCGGCTTGCGCAGGAGGGCAGCAGCAGGCCCACAAGGCACCGGGTCTAGGGACGTGGGGAAGCCCCAGGGAGGCCTCAGTGATTAGAATGCCTCCTGCCTCTGGACGGATTTGTGGAGGGCTGGGATCCCATTATCGACAGGTTCCCAGGAAAGCAGGGAGAAGAAAATGATGGGCAAGAAGCAAGGTTGTCACAGTAACACGGGCTGAAACCATTCCGCCAGGAACTCTGCCTAGGGGACGAGGGTGGGGAGGCGTGTGGGTGACAGCCACGTGGTCCTTACCGCAGGGAGAGGTCGAGAGTTCAGGAGAGCCTGAAAGGAAGCCGGCCTGAAGGCATGACGTCAGGAAGGACGGAATGAACCCAGAGAGAGTGGAAGGGGGAACGCAGGGAGAAATCCATTGGGAAACAAAAACAAGAGGGCAGCAGCAACAAGCCGCAGGTTGCTGCTTCCTAAGTTGGTCTATTCCCTTCCGAAGAGGCTGGTCGAGACGAAGAGGCACACAAATCACTATGAAGAAGGCCAGTGTTAGAGACCATGATGATCAACAAGTTTGTAATAGGAAATGTGAAAATCAGATTTCTAGGCAATTCTCAGAAAGTGCTCGGCCAGTAACCACACCCACTGCTCGGCACCAAGTGGCCCTGGAGCACCTGGGGCGTAAATGTCGGCGCGTCTCCTTTAAGAGGGAGCGAAGCCCCGCCTCCTGTGGAGCTGTCATTTTCCGGGGCCCGTTTTGATGACGTCAGGCGGTGCCGGGCCAATGGGAGCCCAGGATGGAGGGTGTCTGCGCGCGGACCAGCTGGGGGCGGGGCTCCTGGAGCCGAACTCTCGGGCGGGCGCGGGGTCTCGCGGTCCCGGCCGGGACACGGGCGGCCGCGTTCCGGGGGCGGGGGGGGGGGGGCGCCCTCGGCCGGGCTCGGAGCCCGCGTCTTCTCGTGAGTGTCCCGGGTCGGGTCAGGGCCCCCGGGCACGGCCGTGCGCTGAGAGGTCGTCCGGCTGGGAGGCCTCCCCGGGCTGAGCACCCCCGTCCGGCCGACACCCTCCCCCGCCGAGCAGCCCCCTCCCGGGCTGAGCGCCCCCCTCCCCGTCCAGCTGACACACCCTAACCCTCACCCCCTGCCCCCCCCCCCCGGCTGAGCCCAGCCCCCTCCAGCAGGTCCCTGTGCAGCCCCCCCACCCCGCCCCCCACCCCCCACCCCACCCACCCCGCCCTGGGAGTCCACACGGGAGAACGGGTGGAGAGGCGGCCAGGGTGGGAAGGATGCTCTGGGGGAGGGGCCGGGCTCGGGGCTGCTGGATGCGAGTCGTGTGGGAGCCTTGTTCGGTCTAGAAGGGTGTTAGGAGTGCAGCAGGTGTGGGAAACCCTGCCCGAGCCCCGGATCTGTGTGCCGAGCACGAGCACCGAGAGAGAGCACGAGAGCCCCCCAGGTGTGCGGCCTGAGGACGCAGCAGGCGCACCCGCCTCCCAGCCCCGAGCACAGCCCCGAGCACAGCCCCGAGCACAGCCCCGAGCACAGCCCCGCTGCGGGAAGGCCTGGTGGCGGCCGAGGCTTCCGCGCCCGCACCGGCCACCTCGCCGTAGCCGGGCCTTCCCAGCACAGCCAGGGTGAGAAAACCTCCAGGCCAGGGCCTCACCCGGGCCGGCATCTCCCTGGAGAAAGGCCTCGAGTGTGCAGGGAGTGTGCAGGGAGCGTGTGCTCCTTGTTGAGCCCCCACAGGACACGCACCGGAGAAGCTCTGAGAACAGCCCCTGTGAGGACGAGGTTAGCCGGAGCCAACACGCCCCCGGGGCATGTGTCCCAGGGCCAGGTGTGTGGCCGCGCCTAGGAGCTCGGCTGCACTCCCTGCCCAGCCCAGCGCCCTGCAGAGTTACCTGTCGGGGGCCCGTGCCCGTGCGGGGCCCTCTCGCCCACCTGCCAGCCGGGAGGGACTCCCAGCAGCCTGGGCCCGCTGGAGGCCTTCGTTCTCTTGACCGGTCACCTGTGGGTGATGCAGCTCTTGGCTAGGAGGACCTCAGCTGGGGGCGTCTGGGGGCTCAGTGGGGCCGGTTGACCTTTTCTCCGAGGTATTGTTGGCCTCCTATGACTCTTGTTGGACTTGTCCAGCTGCCAAGTCTGGCTTCAGAGGAACTGCCTCCTCCCCCCACCCCCCCTTATCCTGCTAGGTCTGGAAATAGACGCCTTCTTGCTCAAGCCACCTTTATCTGGTGGTTTCTGCTTACTGTGCGGGGTGGGTTGAGAGCAGAATTGGGGTCAGAGATGAGAGCGGAATTGAGGCAACGGGTGGTGGGGGGAGAGTGATGAGGGGAAGAACTCGCAGTCCACTTTTGGCTTGGTGGGATTTGCTGTCCAAGACCTTCAGGGAATAATTGAAGGCTTCGAGCCTGGCCCCCTCCTCCAGCCCCCGCCAGCGTATCTCCAGGCTGTGCAAGTCGGGTCTGTTGTGCCCAGGGGTGTCCCTCACTTGCGAGCTTTCTTCCCGGGACCTCCCTAGGAGCCGCGCCCCCTGAAGTCCAGAACCTCGTAGGCAGGTACCATGACCTATAAGACCTGCAGGGGCTCTGGAGGAGCCATGATTCGTGCAGAAACCCTGGTGTAGTAGTAGGGGGTGGGGGAGACTGTGGCAAAGTTAGGGGGCATGTGCCCCTTGTATTCACAAATGTAGCTTTGCAAGATGACAGTGCGCAGAAATTCTCCGGATCCTCAGACCTGTATCTTCCCGCTAGCTATGCTCACAGTCGGTAAACACAGGTGTCCTCCACTTTTTGAAAGTTTGCATCACACCCCTTTGCTGTTACTAGAGACCTGCATTACTACCCATTATTGCTAACAGAGAAATCTGAAGCGGATTTTCACTTTTATGTAAAAAGGTGAACAGTGAAAATACAGTGTTCAGCGTTCATTTTGCAGTGAGCCGTTACGGAGGGGTGCGTACCCTCAGCAGAGAGTGGCCCTGCGCGCTCCTTCCCCAAGAACCATACTCGGCATCTCAGCGTCAAGCCACCAGAGCTCTGAACTGTGTCTGTGGACGTCTGTGTTTTGTCTCAATTTATTTCGTGCATCTGTTAGCAAGATGTGTCCTAAGGTAATCAGAAAAGCCTAAGAAAGGTGATTTTTTTGGGTCTGGGAACCCTCAAAAGTTTTCCATATAAATTACTGGTAATTGCTTCTTCTCTTTATGCCATTTCGGTTTACCAAAGGTTCCATGGGAGCGCTCTACTTTTGTGTGTGTGTGTTTAAAGGTTTTATTTATTTATGCAAGAGAGCACAACGGGGGGGGGGGGGGGAGGGGCAGAGGGAAAGGGAGATGCAGACTCCCTGCTGAGCTGGGGGCCGGATGGGGGACTCCATCCCAGGATCCCAGGACTCCGGGACCAAGACCCGAGCCGAAGATAGACACTTAACCCCCTGAGCCACCCTGCTGCCCCAGGAATGCACTACTTTTGGAAAGCAGGGGAAACCTGTACTGGTTCTGTAGTGGCTGGGCCCTTCTCTAGGGCAGAGAAGTCCCCTGAGTTGCCCACCTGCCGGAGTGCCAAGGAAATCTGCTGGGCAGCTGCTTGCAGGGAGGGGTGAGGTTGAACTTGCTGGGAAGCTAGCTGGAGCGCGCTGGACTCCCTGCGACCGAGGCGCAGCCGCCTGCTGGGTGCTGCTGCAACTTGCTGGAGGTGGGAGCTCCCCTGCTGTCCCACATCCCAGCCAAAGGCCAGGGGGTAAGAAGCAAGTACTTTCCTCCACCCAGTGCCCCCTCTCGTGCCCTCTGCTGACAAGCCTAGCTCGCCAGCTGGCAAGGAAGAAAGGTTCCAGCATCACAGCCGAGCAATGGAGAATGCGTTCGGGAGGGCTTGAAGGAGGGTTCAGGGAGTGCTGCAGCGTTCTGCCTGGGACCCAGGCGCCCCTCCGGTCAAGGGGTCTGGGCCTGTGAGTTGAGCTACCGTCTAGGGACTGGCCGTCTAGGCAGGCACCACTGCGGTTGTGACCCAAGGCCGGTTCGGGGCTACAAGATCTAAAGTTTTCCCACCCAGTTTCATCATCAGTATTAGCATATTTCTAGGGGCACCGTGTTCCATTGACCACTGTCTCAGGCCCCTGTGGGCCATGTTTTTGTTTTTTTTTTTTTTAAGATTTTATTTGTCTATTCATGATAGACATAGAGAGAGAGAGGCAGAGACACAGGCAGAGGGAGAAGCAGGCTCCACGCAGGGAGCCCGACGTGGGACTCGATCCTGGGACTCCAGGATCATGCCCTGGGCCAAAGGCAGGCGCTAAACCTCTGAGCCACCCAGGGATCCCCTGGGCCATGGTATTTTGATTACCGGTACCTACGTGCTGTCCTTCGTGTCCCTGCCTGTGGCGGTTGGGTCCTGCCACCTGGTCGGGTCCTCTGCTCCTCCAGATCCAGCATCCCCAGTGAGGGCAGCCCATCCGCCCGTCTCATCCCCACCACTACAGCTACCTGCCATGGGGAGTAACCAGAGTCTTCCAAGGATGAGCGTGCTCCTCTCACTAATGTATTTCTTTGTGCCTTAGTGAAAATGTGTAGTTAGGAGATAAAGGTGCAGGTCGCACATGATAAATCGAGCCCGACGTTCCCCTCACCTTGTTAAATGGAGGCCATTTTTGAGTTTAGGTTTCCATCAAGCAATCCCATATGCTGTTAGAGCCACCTCCCGCTGCCCAAGTGGGTACCTGAAACCTGGATTCTCTAGTAACTTTATCATCATCAGTAAATTTGGTCTGACCTGGTGTTATATTCCATCCACTTTGCTCTAACACCCTTAGAATCCACATATGTTCTCCATATTTCTACAGATAGGTATTAGCAGAGCCCTCCTGGTTTCCTAGGTGTGCAAGCTGTTCTGCCGAGGGCACGGCGTGTACCCGTCCCTCTGACGCACCCTGCAGTGTGACCCTAGGTATGGGTCTGGTGGCAACAGAGGGTATTGTGAACGAGTGTCCCCCTATCAAGGCACCCACCTACCCTTGGCACGGTCATCACAGGACTTTCAAGCAAAGGAAGATTAATCTTCTAAGGCACCACGGGCCAAGCTCACGGGCGCAGAGTGACTCAAGGTTTAAGATGGTCAGTTATATCTGGGTCCGACCGCATGTCTCCACCCTGAGTTTCACGATCCTTTCCGGTCAATGCCCGGGCTTTCCCTTGAGAAAGGTGAGGCTGTGAATCCAACTGTTGTTCTCAACAAATGCAGTTAATGTTTCCGTGTGACTTTTAGCAATAGCCCTGTGACTACGACAACGGGCTTCCTGAGAGCGGTCCCTGAAGATCTCCGGTTCTCACCATGACTACTCATTTTCCTGTAAGCACTCTGGTGCACTGGAGAGGCTCCGTCCCACATCGGGGTTTCTGTGGCATCATTAGCACCATAAGAAGACGAGCTCAGCAGCTGCCGGGGCTCCAAGGCACTTGCTTCGCTCAGGATCACAATCAGCCCGAGGTGACAGCTCCATTAATTCTTAGGCCAGTGCACGGCATGGATTACTGGCTTCCCATTTCCCACTGGTAACGGGCTCATCAGGAGGCTGTTGAGTACGACAGGTGTCAGGTGAGGAGTACGAGTCACTTCCCAAATCCCACCTGTGCAAGCCTATCCCTTGTGATTACTCCTGGTACCGTGTGGTACCAGTCAGGGGCCAGTCCGGCAGAGAGGAACCATCCAGAATCTGAACAAAGCAGGTTGGATATAAAGAATATCAGCTATTTCCAGGGATTTAACTACTATGTGGAGATGAAAGAAGATTCTAAGGAATGCTCCGAGGGACAGTACCGAGGAAGGAACAAATCTGGGAGGAAGCAATCCCTCCCTAAGGGTGTGGAGATTGAGACCCTGTTGGAGATGGTGCCGTTTCAGCTCAGCAGATGGCAGAGGAATTTGATGGGCTGATCCGGACTGGAGGCGGGCCGTGTTTGTCGGGGCAAGAGTGGGGAAGAACTATGAGCCAGCAGAAGGGAGAACCCTGCCACTGCCCACCCCCAGGTCCCAAACCCCCAACAGTGTGGGGTGTCTGCACGATTCTCCTGGAAGGGAGGTGCCGTCAGACTTGCTGAGAAGCCTGCTGGGGCACGGCTGCCCTTGCTGCGGAGCTGCTGGGGAGCTGCTGGGGAGCCCTCCCCCCCACCGGGAATCCGCCGTGTCACTAGGTGTGCAGCAGCCCACCGAGGGTCTGGGGAACAGGGAGGAGGGAAAGCAGGCGGGAACCAGGGAGGCAAACCTGCTGCTCCCCGACCCTCCTGCTCCCTCTCCCAACAGAGCCAGGGCCGCATCCTCTGGCCGGGCCGTGGAAAGCGCCAGTACTGCTGAGAGGCAAGCCCTTTACGCCGGTGCAACCAACTCGTTTTACCAAGTTAGGGTACCTTGATGGACAAAGACCAACCTATGTGGCCAGAGAAAAGAAACACTGGCCCATCGCACTTAGGCATAGATGGGAAATCCTGAAGAAAACCCAGGAAACTTGCTTTAGTGATACATAAAACACGGCGCGTTAAGACCGCGGGGCTCATCGCAGCAGCAGGGGGCTGCACACCGGGCCGTGCTCCCCTTTCATGGGATGGGGCTGTTACAGGGACCCACGGCCAAGCCCAGGCCTGCCCTTCCCTGGGGGAGCGCCGTCCCCGGCTGCTGTTCCTCGAGGTTCCGGACCCCTTGGGCATGTGGGTGCATGTGGGTGACCACAGGCTCTGCCGTGGGGCCAGGGGAATACAAGGCGGCAGAGCTGGCGCGTGAAGAAGAGCTTCTTGCCGCTCAGAAACCTTCATCTCGGGGCGCCTGGCTGGCTCAGTGGGCTAAGCATCTGCCTGCGGCTCAGCTCATGAGCCCGGGGTCCTGGGATTGAGCCCCCTGCTCTTATGCTCTCACTTGCTCGTTCTCAGATAGATAAATAAATAACATCTTAAAAAAAAAAAAAAGAAAAGAAAAACCTCTGTCTCGGGCTGTTAGGTGGCAAACTTCTAACTTTTTTGAGCTAGTACACATTCTGAGGTGAGTGTGTGTTTTGGCTTTTCCTTAATAATGTTTATGTTATAGAGCAAATTATATATTTTACTGTATTTCCAGATTAAGGGATAAAAGTTATGTGATCATCTCAGTGGATGCAGAAAAAGATGTTTAAAAAAAAAAACCCTTGATAACTGGGAATGGAAGCAGTTATCTTTGTTCTGACACAGGTTACTTGTAAAAAAAAACCTACAGCAAGCATGCTAACGGTGAGACATTTATTTAAAGCTTTGGTTTTGAGTTGGGGGCACTTGGCAATTAACAAAAATAAATAGGTGGTGTAAAAATCAGAACGGTGAAAACAAAACTTGTTATTTGACTATATATATAGATTAATCTCTATATATAAAATCCTAAAGTATATACAGATAGATTATTAGAATAAGCAAGAAAGTCTACAAAGTCACTGATAAAAATCAGTGTGGGACACCTGGTGGCTTAGTCAGTTGTGTTTGACTCTTGATTTTGGTTCAGGTCGTGATCTCAGGGTCGTGAGATCGAGCCCCACATTGGGCTCCATGCTTAGTGTGGAGCCTGCTTGAGATTGTCTCTCTCCCTCTACCCTTTCTCCCCTGCCCCCCCCCCCAAATCAAGTCTTCTCATCCTCTACATCAAAACCAGGAAATTAGAAATTAAAGATTTAAAAAGGTGCAGCTTACAGTGGCATGAAAAGCAAGTACCCAGGACTGTGCACGGCAGAAGGCGGGCAAGGTATCTTTGAGAAACATCAAGATCCAAAGAGACTATATAAAAATGTCAAATTTCTCTACCTCGAGACTTAATGAAATTCCAATGAAAATGTTTACTGGTTTCCTTTTTGAATTTGGAAGGCAATCCTAGTAATTATAAGTAATGTAAAGGGATGAAGCTAGCCAACTGGCTCTGGAGAAACAGATGCTGGGAGTCTTGCTCCACTTGACTTGAGGACTTAGCCTATGGCCGTGGTACAGGTGGAGAGTGGTGTTATGTACAGGGACAGACGCATGGACCAGTAAGACCAGTAGGCCGGCACACAGAGCCGAGAAATAGATCTGCGGGTCTGTTTGTGCCTGACTCATGATGCAACCGGCTTCAGTGAAAGGGTTCAGTGCGTGGCCGTGGATGTGGGGACGGACGCTGGCTCTGACCCTCCTGGTTCCAGAGGAGGCCTTGGGTGGCCAGTGGGGTCCCGTTCAGGCTGACTCTCAGCACGGATGCTGAGGCTCGGGGAGGTGAGGAGGGGCGGCTGGCCGCAGTCACTCCACCCACAGGGTGGGCCCGGGGCCCCCAGCCTGAGCCGCACCCCACGCCCCTGCTCCAGCTTCACAGTGACTGTCAGGCCCCAGACGAGGCTGTTTTCTTGGGGAGTAGGTTAGAGTGGGGGCTGGTACTTCCTAGGGAAACCGGTGTCCTTCGACTGGAAGGAGCTTCCTGTTTCCTTTGCGGAGATCCCGGGCATGGCCGATGGGAGGTGCTTCCTAAAGCTGCTGAGGGAAGGAATGAATGAATGGATGAACGAATGAAAGGTGTGTTCTGACGAAAACGAGCTCATCGTATGGCCTGAAATGGCCTGCAGAGGATGCCTTGCTGAGGACCAGAGGCTCCCCCAGGCTCCTCTCCCCAGGTGTGAGTCCGCGTGTCTGGGGCCCGGGAAGGGGCTTGGAGGACGCGTGGCTATGAGACCCCGCAGGGGCTCGCCTGCTGCTGCAGAAGGCCACGAGCCCCTGTGCCGTGGGGGTTCCAGGGCCTGGCGCAGCGGGAGTTCCGAGGCTGGCAAGCCCTACCTGACGCAGGTGCATGCGCTACAACTACATCACCGCGCAGGAGCGGCAGGGTTGGGCGACTTGGGGACAGACCTTGAGCATTGCCAGGTCCAGCTCAGTCCTGCCCCCAGGCTCACGGCCGTCGGGAGACAAGGCGACCGCCGCCTTACGCCGGGCAGGTGCGGGGGCTCAGAGGGCATCGGGCAGGGAAGCGGCTGCCCTGCAGGCCTCGGGGCAGGTGGGCGGGCTCTGGGTCCCTTACATCACCCTCTGCAGCCCCTCGCCCTCCCGGCCTCCCCGTGTCCACCTCTGGGTGCTCCTGCAGGGCGGGCACAGCATCCTAGCTCCTGTCCTGCCTCCTGTCTGTCCTGCGGCCTGCCACCTTCTGCGCCCAGCGAGGAGGAGCTCCCCCGAGGGCAGCTCCACCCCCTCCTGCCCTGTAGACACCTCCAGCTCCTCAGTGGCCCCACCAGACCTCCCCCCACTTCTGGGGGGAGTCACTTCCCCTCCCCTCCATGCCCTGCTCCTCCCCACAAGCTGTGCTGGGAATCCCCTGGGAGCTACTCCCACCCCCTTCTGCCGGGAAGCCTTCCCTTCCCTCCCCGCTGAGTGTTGTCCCCGGTGCTCCCCGAAGCCTGTGCTCTCCCCACCCCAAGCATTTGTTGTAGGGCTGTGAGGGCAGGGTTGTGGTCCTCACACTGTGGGGGGTTGGACCCGGTGCTCCGGTGCTCAGTGAATGCTTGTAGATGGAGCTGCTTGGGGGGATGTGCTCAGGGGGTCCGCCTTATAGACAACCCCCCCCCCCCGCCCAGTGTTTGCCTGACAGTAACTTAAAGACTTTCATTTCTTCTCGAAGGTCCCTAGGACCAGATAATCCTTACCCTGATTAATTAAAGCTTTAAAGAACCCAGGACTTCCTGATGTATGGAAATGGGACATTTCTGAACAAGAACCTTTCTTATCGTCCAAGACTGATGGTGCTGAGATGACAGGTCCCTTGCTTCTTGCTGTGAGAGAGGGTAAGGTTCTAGAAGGATTTCTACTCAGGAGAGCACCCATTCCATAGCCTCCGACGGTTGAAATCCTATAGGGTTGCCAGACTGAGTACAGGAAGCCCAGTTAAACTTGAATTTCAGGTAAACCCCAAATAATTTTTTTTAGTATCGCTATTTCGCATATAATATTAACATTTAACTGGACACCCTGGATTTTTATCTGCTAAATTGGGCAATTCTATTTGGAATAAGCTTGGGAATAAAAATAAAGATTTTATGAATATGTAATTCTGCCAGTGGGAAATCTGTCTTATGCATAAGGATGGTGAATATTTTGAAGAGCAAACAAAGTAATCAGACCTTGTTTTGTATTTGTGAAATCTGAATGAAACTCTTCCAAATTAGCTTTAAAATACATCTGAAAAGCATCAGTGACTTCCTAGGTGCCTACCATCTATGCATCTGGTGATGCTGTTATAAATGTCTGAAAAATATGAATGTTTAGCAAAATATTTCCATAAAGCCCAGTTTATTGTATTTACCTGTGTGTGTGTGTGTGTATATATTTTTTTTCTTTTTTTTTACTTTTTCTGTCATTATATTTTCCTTCCTGATGTTCTAAGAGCCTTTGTTTCTCATTTCCTTTCTACTTCAAGAGCTTCCTTTAGCCATTCTTCACACCTGGTCTGCTGGTGACAGACTCTCTGAGTTGTCCTTCATGTGAGGATGTCTGGGTAGCCCCCCCCCCATTAAGTTTTGAAGATATTGAAAGATTTGAAGATGGTTCTTTTCTTTCAGTGCTTGCCAGATAAGGTGCCACTTCATTCTGATCTCCATGGTTTTTGGTGACAAATCATGTCATTTCAATCGTTTTTCTCCTATAGGTAAGACGTTTCTGGGGGCACCTGGCTGGCTCACTTAGTAGGGTGTGCAACTCTTGATCTTGGTGTCATGAGTTTGCACCCATGTTGAGTGTGGAGATTGCTTAAATAAATAAACTAAAAAAAACAAGGTGTTTCTGTCTTGCTGCTTTCAAGGTGTTTTCTTTGTCCTTAGCTTTGAGAAGTCTCATGATGTGTCTTGATGTAGATTTTTGGGTTCATCCTTTGTGGTGTTTGCTTAGCTTCTTGAATCTGTAGGCGTGTATGTGTGTGTGTGTGCGCGTCCCTCCCTCTTCCCAGGACTTGGATGACATGAATGTTGCATCTTTCATTACCATCCCACATGTCCCTGAGACTGTTAATTTTTGTTGCTTGTTTCCTCTGATGTTCAGGTTGGAGATTTCTACTGTTCTCTCTTCCAGTTCACCAGTTCTCCCCTTTCCTGTTCTGCTGTGGAGCCACCCGGTGAGTTTTTAAAAAGCTTTGGTTATGGTATTTTTCAGTTATAAAATATCCATTACTTTGTTCATATCTTCTGTTTCTTTGTTGAGGCTTCTGTTTTGTTTTTTTTTCCATTTATTTCAAGTGAGTTCATAGTTCCTTACTGAAGCATAAAGTATGATGGCTGCTTCAAAAGCCTTGTCAGATAATTCCAGCACATATGTCATCTTGCTTGACTGTTTTTTCCTCCTATAAGTTGAGGTTTTTCTGTTTCTTGGTATAATAGTGATTTTTGGTTGTATCTTGAACATTTTGGGTATTTGGGATTTTATTTAAATCTGTCTTCGCAGGCAACTTCTGAGGTTCCCTCGTCACTGAGGGAATGGGGTGTGGGCCTTGTTACTGTCAGATGGATGGAAGTCTAGGTCCCCTTCTTGGCCTCTGGTGACACTCTAGAGGATGGAGAGGATACCTTCTCAGAAGCCTTAGGGGTGTGGGGTGGCAGGGTGGTCACCTCATTAACACTGGGGTAAAGTCCTGACTCCCTACCAGGCTTCCTCTGACACCACCATGGTGTGTGTGTGTGTGTGTGTGTGTGTGTGTGTGTGTGTGTGTATGCACATGTGCTGATCTCCTTTGGACTAAGTTTATATCTTAGCATATCAGCCATCTCAGGGGAGGCCCTAAACCCAGGCCTACCTTGTCATTGATACTTAGAAGGACCTTAGATTTCAAGCATTATCTTAATCTTTATAGAAAACAGGATGAAAACCAAAAGCAATAGGTTCACAGAGCCAGGATGGGCAAGCAGAAGGCCCCTGGGGGCTGGTTATAGTGTTTGAGTCCTACAGGGTCTTCCTGCCGAAGGAGACAAGTGCACCTGCTCTAATGTGAGTCTTCCTGTGGGCAGAGGGCTACTAGGAGGGTTTGGAGGCTCTGGGTCCAATGTCACCTGGGTCTCTAGCCTTGGGCAAGGTATCTATGCCTGGGTCCTATTTTCCTTATTAAATCAAGAGGAGGAACTGACAGTCTCTGGTGAGTAACTAAGCATCTTTGGCGTTCCCCATCCTTGTCTGTGGTGGCAAAATCAAAATTAAGGAAGCCTCAGAAGAGTGCAGAAATTGGATTTACCTAGTGATTAAGCACAGGGAATTTATGTGGGAGTTTGAATCCAGCGTAATGAACAGGGGAACAGAATGACACCTTGGCCATCAGCACATCATAAGGTCATCATCAATGCCTGTTCTTGACTCTAGAAATAATAAACATTCCCCCCCTCATCCCCAAACCCTTAAAATCTAAATCAACTTTATAAGTCATCCAGTTCTGACACTGGCCTTTTGTGGGTGATTTTGGGGACAGGGACTCTGGGGAGGGCTCACAGCTCATTCTCTGGGCTGGGTCCTGACCTTGTCCTGGACAGGCCCAGGGAAGGGACTGTGTTCCTGAGGCATTTCCACAGACCCAGGGCTGGTGCCAGGTGTTCCAGGCCACTCAGGGACCCTGCACTGTCTTCTAATATCATACGAGTCCAGGACAGAATGTGCTGGTAACTAATAGAACAACAAGGTGCAAATTGGTATTTGGACAGAGAAGGATTTTCAGGTGCTCTGGGGAGAGGAATCTTCGAGTCCTTTCACCTAAATAAGAAAGTTTGAAAAAGTTAAAAAAAAAAAAAAGGCCATCAGTGGGCAGCATGAACTGGCTGTCTAATGAAAGAGACAGTGATGAGAAAGGCCCTGGTCACTTCCCTGTCCTGGGTGTGACACGTCTGGACGCATCGTCTCCATTGGAGCAAGAATTGCCTCAGCACCCCCGAGCTTCCAGTGCGCCTGTGCTGTCAGCCTGGCGGAACTGGTCCAGTTGCGGTACGAGTGCTCACAGTCCTGCATTCAGTTCAGCAGATGCTTGGGCCCCGTGCAGAGCTAGGGAAGGGACAGCTGCCAGAGCCCCAGGGACTTTGGGCCCTCAGGGCTTTCAGGGTGGAGGCGCTCTGAGCAGCACGATGCAAACTTACTTCTAGCAAGAAAGGGCAGTTTGTCAGCAATCCCCCTTGTGGGAGTGGATCGGAGCCTCCCCGGGGTTCCTATCTGCCCTGCAGGGGAGGGGCTGAGTGGGTTGCCCCCCATGTGCAAGAGCCTCGGAGAAGGGCAACTTTAGCCGCACCGCCCACACCATTCAGTACAGACCTCAGCTGGGGCTCCAGCGAGTGAAAGGTGGCCCTCATCCTGAGTTTTATTGTTCATGTGTTGGTCCTTTATTGTGTAACTTGGCCTGATGTAGGGCTGAGAAAATGCATTGTCTTATTTCACCCTTGACATTTTTATTGCAGGGAATTTTCAAATCTGTGGGAAAGACTGTTCAGGCTACTTCCTTGGGAATTATTTAAAGAGAGACAGGTTAGCTACTGAATGCAGGGAGAGAGGAAAAAAGCGAGGGAGAAGAGAGAAAGAACGTGCGGGAGGAGAGGGGTTTAAGTACGGAACCCCTGGTCACAGCATTTTACTTCTCTGCTTGTTCTGAGTATCATAATTTTCTAAGCGAGATGTACTTTCCCGATAGTGTTTTCCCCCCTCCTTTCCGTTAATCAGATGCGAACTGAGCCTCCCATTCCTTCAGTGTCCCCAGCTCTGTGACCTTGGCCATGTCTCTTCACTCCGCTGGGCCCGTGTCTCTTCATGTTTAAGGGGAGACCGAGAACGTCCTCCACTGCTTAGGGTTATTTCAAGGGTCAGATGAACCCAAGCAGGGGATGCTGAGGAAGGAAGTACTGTTTAATGGGGCACGTATTAAAGTGGGGGGTGGGTGGGGAGGACTCCCAAGGGGAAGCCACACCTAGCCAAAATCGGAGAGTTTACTAGGAGAAGGGGCAGGTTTGAGGGTGGGGGAAGAGGGGGGGATCTTGTGCAGAGCCCCATGGTGGAAGGGTGCCCACTAACCCCAGGGGCTGAGAGGAGGCAGGAGGGAGAGAGGAGCAAGGGAACTGTGGAGACCAGCAGGTGGAGACTATGGAGTGTCCACTGGGCCAGGGTGCTCACCCTCATCCCATGAGCCTCTGGAAGTCACCTAATGGTTTTAGGGAAAGTCACAATGGGACTTGAATTTTGACAAGAGTTGTACTGGCCACAAGAGCCAGCCTTGACGTCTAGGCGGAGGGGAGGCAACGACTTGGCTATTTCCTGAGGCCCGTGTGGATTCTGCAGCTTGGATTGGCGGTGGTTGGCACGGCGGGAGGGGACTGGAGAAGAGTGGGCTGATGTTAGATAATTAGATAATTGCTTAGGGAGTCGGGTCTTCTGGTCTTGGTGACTGATCACCCGATGTGGTAAGGAGGAGGGAGGACTGTGGCTCGATTTCTACTTCATGCAACTGGATGGAATCTTTCATTCACTGGTATGGAAGCTACTAGATCAGGTTTGGACTTGGAAATGTTCAGTTTGAGGTATCTTTGAGACACCTTAGTGAAAAATGTAGAACAGGTAACGTTGGATGTATAATTTTGAGTTCAGGGTTGAGATCTGGCCCCATTTTTTACCTTTGCCTGTGTCTACACTGACCGCCATGTGGCTTTTCATTGAAAGTGAGAGTAAACGTCCCAGACCCTTGACTGGAGGCTCAATTCTCTTCCACAAAACTTCACCCAACTCTTCTCAACCCCTCATTTCCTCCCAGCTGTGTCCACCAGATCCTTTCCTTCCTGTGCGTGGTTCAGACTCCTCCAAGTGTGCTGCCCTCAAAGGAGGCTCTTCAAAGGTCTGTAAGTACGATCGTCAAGTGTTGTCCCTCTCCATCTTCAGATCTAAGCTATCGGCTCCCTACATCTAACACACAGCAGGGGGACAGGCGCTGCATAGCCACTTCGATATTCCTCTCTAAAGAGGGGGACCTGGGAGGCCCAAAGGAGTCACTGATCCAGAGCAATTCTGTCATCGCGCTGGGCAAATGGTGGAAGCTCCTTGATTAGGTCTCAGGGCCCAGAAATGATTCTTCAGAGTGCTTGGCTCTGTCCTTTGGCTTCTTGGCTCTATCCTCTGAGTCTTCCTTCCTTTTTCTGTGAAAGATGGTGCATTTTTGCATTGGGGCAGTTTTCAGAGCCTTATTTCTGTCAGTGGAATTTGGGGATCAAATCAGTTCCTTTTTCTTTTTTTAAGATTTTATTTATTTATTCATGAGACACACACACACACACACACAGAGAGAGAGAGAGAGAGAGAGAGAGAGAGAGAGAGAGGCAGAGAGAGAAGCAGGCTCCGTACAGGGAGCCCGGCATGGGACTCGATCCAGGGTCTCCAGGATCAGGCCCTGGGCTGAAGGCAGCGCTAAACCGCTGAGCCACCCGGGCTGCCCCAAATCAGTTCCTTTAATTTGGTTCTGCTTCTATCCCTTTCAGTCTAAGCTGGCACTGTCTTTGCTGATGTGATTCCAACTACAGTGTTGGCAGCTCACATGTCAATCTCACTGGGGGTTCCCTTCATTAGACAGCTACATTCACAAGTCTCTTCTGGATAAGCCTTTTCACTTTGTTTCTTCCTTCTTTTGGTTGAATTTGTTGTTATTTTTAAATTTCTTGAAATGGAGACTTTGGTGATTGATTTTTAGCCTTTCCCCCCCTCATTTATGTGCATTTAAACCGATACAGTTTCCCTCTGAGCATCCCTTTGACTTTAATCTGTTAAAGTTTTTCTTTTTGAAGATTTTATTTATTTATATGAGAGAGAGAGACAGAGACAGAGAGAGAGAGAGAGAGAGAGAGAGAACACAAGCAAAGAGAAGGGGTAGAGGGAGAGAGAGAGACAAAGAAGCAGACTCCCTGCTGAATAGGGGCCAGACACAGGGCTTGATCCCAGAACCCGGAGATCATGACCTAGCTGAAGGCAGACACTTAACTGACTGAGCCACCCAGGTGCCCCAATCTCTTAAGTTTTGGTATGTTCTACTTTCATTTTCATTTACTTCAAATTCACTGATTTACATTATTTTTTAAACTCACAGGTTATTTAAAAGCAGTTTTAAATTTTCTTCACAGTTGTAGGTTAATTCCAATATAATCAGAAAACAGAGAATGCAGTGTGTTTATTTAAAATTGTCGAGATTTCAATATGTTGCTCAAGTCTTCTATATATTTATTGAGATAATTGCTTATTTTATGCATTTTGGATAGTTGTTAAAGAATTTCATTTTGATTGTGGATTAATCTACCTTCTATTTTTGTAATTATTTGCTATGTATATTTAAAGATTTATTTATTTATTTTTAGAAAGAGAGAGGGGCCAAGGGAGAGAGAAAGAAGCAAACTCCCTGCTGAGCATGGGGCCCAACTTGGGGCTGGATCTCATAACCCTGAGATCATAACTTGAGCTGAAACCAAGAGTCAGATGCTTAACTGACTGAGCCACCCAGGGACCCCAATTTGCTTTATATATTTTAAGCATATATTATTAGGTGCATACAAATTTGGAATTGTCAATACTTCTTGACCCTTTTATGAAAGATTCCTCTTTATGCTTCTTGCTTTTGAGTTTAATTTGATATTAGTAAACTTCACTGGCTTTCCTTTGGTTAGTGTTTGCATAGTAGATCTTTTTGAATGCTCCTTTTACTTTCCCATTCTCTGTATCCTTATATTTAAGATGTATATCTTGTAAGTGTCAAGCTTCATTTAATTGAACTTTGTATTTTTATCCAATCTGATAGTTTATCTTTTAATTGCTGTATTTAACAAAATTACATTTATTAAAATTGCGATATATTTGGGCTCAAATCTACCTACCATGTAATTTTTTTCTTTGTTCACATGTCAAATGTTCCTTGTCCCAAATTTCTCTTAAAATGATTTTCTGTATTTTCATCTGTAGTTTTCTTTCTGTATTTCATTTTCTACTGACTTATCTTCCATTTCTTTATTTCTCTCTCCACTGGTGTATAATCTGCTTTTAAAGTAATATATGGAGTTTTATTTTTTAAATATTATTTCCCTCTTTTATCAATGAGGTATAATTTAGGGGCACCTGGGTGGCTCAGTTGGTTAGGTAGCTGCCTTTGGCTCAGGTCATGATCCCGGGGCCCTGGGAACAAGCCCCTCGTTGGGCTCTCTGCTCAGCTCTCTCCCTCTGCCTGCCACTGCTCCCCCTGCTTGTGCACTCTCTCTCTGTCAAATAAATAAAATCTTCAATGAGGTATTACTTATATATGATAAAGTGCACAAATCCTGTGTTTAGCCTAATAAATTGTTACATACACATGCACACACACGCACATCTTTGTCTATCTCAATCTCTATATCATCTTTGCTTATATTCATATCAAATAATCAACTGTATCAGGATATTTTATGTTCCTAGCATCCCAGAGTCTCCCTTATGTCTGTCACATATGATATTTCCTCAGAGATAACCTTTTTTTTTAACCTCTATCACCATGGATTAGTTTTGTCTGTTTTTGAATTGTCTATAAATGAATTCTTTAGTATATATTCTGTTATATCTGTGTTGTTTACTCAACATTATGTCTTAATTCATCCATGTTTTGTGTAGCAGTAGTTTTTTATTGTTATGTAGAAATCCACTATACAAATATGCTAAATTTTATTCATTTATTCTCATTTTTTTTAAGGTGGGAGAAACTTTTTAAAAAGATTTTTATCTATTTATTCATGAGAAACACACACACAGAGAGAGGGAGAGAGAGAGAGAGAGAGAGAGAGAGAGAGAGAGAGAGAGGCAGAGACAGAGGGAGAAGTAGGCTCCTTGTGGGGAGCCCAATGCGGGACTTGATCCCAGGACCCTAGGATCAGGACCTGAGCCAAGGGCAGATGCTCAAACACTGAGCCACCCAGGTGCCCTGGTTTATTGTACTGTTAACGGACATTTGATTTATTTCTACGCCATTATTCTCTTGTGACTTTTTCTCTTGATCTTGTGTCCATTGTGTCTGGTAATTTTTGATTGAATGTTGGGCATTGTCTCATAAATTGATGCAGTTCTGGATGATGTTATCTTCCTCTAGAGAGGTTTCACTTTTGCTTATGCTAGGCAGTTAGATTAGGGTCAGACTGATTTAATTTAATCAGGTAGTGAACTGATTTGAGGTGGTTTAAAGTCCTATAAGGCCAAGTCAATGTCTGGATTATCTTTTTTTTCACAGGTATGCTCCTTGATGCAGCCTGAACTCCAGTTACTCCACAGCCTAGTGACAGTGCCTGAAGCTCTGCTTGGCTTCTCAGACTCTTGGCTTTTATTGTCTCCATGGCCTGTCAGCCCATGGGCTGCTGTTGGCACATAAGCAATCACTTTGAAGAGATAAGTGATGAAGAGTGTCGGGGTCACTTCTGTGCATTCTTCTTGTCTCTCAAGGTCCTCACGCTTTGGCTAAATAAGTACCTTGAACCACAGTGGTTGTTGCTGTTTTTTTCCTCTCAGACCTATGAGATAGATGAGAATCTGCTTCTCCTACTCACAGCCACTTTCTGCTTGGCTTCCAATCCTCTCAAATCCATGCTGCTTAGGAATTTCCAAGTACCTGGATGGTGGGAGCAGCACTCAGTGTCAGACTCACATCAGTCAGTTTTCTTTTCCCTGGGATTGTTGTGTTTCATCCAGCTTTTCTTATTATTTCTGGCACAGAGTTTGGTTTGATACAAGCTACTCTGTCATGCTAGAGCAGATTGGTGGAATAATTCCAGGCACCTTGTTTCAGCATCAGTTTTCATTCTATCAGATGATTCTTAAATTTGATTTTCCTAATTGTCCAATGAAATAGTTAGCTAGTTATTGTCCCTACTTCACATGTGGGGGACGCTGAGGCTCATAGGACTAAAGTGGTTGAGGGGGTTTCTATCATTGATATGTGGTGGGGTCATCTGGAACCCTTACTCAACACTGAGGCCCACTTGCACTGTACCTGACACCATTTAAGAGAACCCAAACTGTGTGCAGGGAACAGGAAACAGCAGTAATCGAAGAAGGGGAACCTGGTGGGTGGTGGTTCAGTCACTGAGTTAAAAGGAAGGTACTCAGTGAAACATGAGTGAAATTCTCTATAAACAAATGCCATGTGGATGCAATTATTTTCACTCTAAGCGACTGGGAAGTCCCAGCAGCAAATAAACCTGCTCCATGTGCAGTGAATGTGGCCATCACCACCTCCTTTGAGCAGAGGTGCTGAGAAGCAGAGCTGGAGACACCAGCCCCGGTGGAACTGAGGTTCGGGGACTGTGGGGTGCCCTCTGCTGGTTGGCTGCTTCATGATTGCCTCTTCAAATGCGAAGGGTGGCATTGAAGGGCAGATCATAAGCTTTTCTCCCTTCTGGTGTTGGTGGTTGGCACAGTGATTTCATGGGCAGAGTGCCATTTATCCATCTTTCCTGAGAGAAGTACCAACCCACAGGTGAGGAAGTGGAGGCTCTGCAAGGATGTGGCATCCCTGAGGCACAGAGCCTGGTCTGAGCCACACTGATTATCCTCTCGGGAAAGGCAGCAAAGGGGAAGGACCCCCTTTATTGTTTTTGTACATCTGTGAGGGAAAGTAAGCCCCCTCAGGTGGCTTCCTGGGAGTCCTCTGAGCTCTGCATATTCCATGGTGGCATGAAGAATAGTCTGGAGGATCTGGGGAGGCTGATAGGGACCTGGCCTCCAGGGAGTGTTTGAAGGAAGCACAAGAGAATGGGTAGACAGCTCATATCTGGTAAGAGATGTGATAGAAGCCATGCTCGTCTGATCATCTCGCACATTTGCTGCACTGGTGCCTTTGCCGAATATGAGGTCATCATCTCAGGACAGGTGGTGTTAGGTCCCCTAGTTGCCACACGTCACCTGGAGTCCCCTTTGCTCTGGGCCTCTGTGAGTCTGTGTGTGGTCTCCTGGGAACCCCTCCCTCAGCCCCGTCAGCACATGGTACCAAGGTCACCGGGAATCCCGTGAGGGTTGACTGGGGTGCCACTTTCCTCTCAGACACTCACTCTCCACATCTCTCACATGAGCACTCTGGTCCCCTTCAGGGAGCCAGGAAGCTCCAAGTGTTTATGGCAGGTGCAGATCCAGGGGCCACACTTCTGTGGCCTCACTGACTGTTCCTGGAGCCCCCTCAAGCCATTCACACTTCCTGCCTCATGCCTCAGGTTCCCGGGTGAGGATGTGCCGTGTTCGACATTCTTGCAGCACCACTCAGGTGTCCTTTCTGCTTGGTGCTGGATGTCCTTCCAAAGAGAAGTGTTGGCACTAATATCTATTTCCTCAAGTTACATCTCCTTATGGACTGAGTCGTGTTCCTCAAAATCCATATGTTGAAGCCCTAAACCCCGATGTGACTGTAGTTGGAGATAGTGCTTCTAAGGAGGTCACTGAGGCTAAAGGAGGTCATCAGGTGGCGCCCTGATCTAGTAGCACTGATGTCCTTGTAAGAGGAAGAGGCGCAGGAGAAAGGCCCTGTGAGCACACAGCAAGAAGGTGGCTGTCGACAAGCCAGGAGGAGACCCAACTAATCCTAAAGGCCCTGGATTGGACTTCTGGTCGCTAGGACTATGAGCAAATACATTTCTGTGGATGAAGCCCCCCACTCTGTGGTCCTTTGTTAGAGCAGCCTGAGCTGACTAATACCACCACCGCTTACTACTGCCCACAGACTGAAAACTGGCATTTCTCCCACCTCCCTGCCCCATTGGGGACACTTCCCTGGTTTCTCCAAAACATTTTTTATCTAGTGAAGTGCATCCAGTCCATGAAACCTTTCAAGGTAAGCAGAATGAAGCAGGCCTTCAGCTGTCCACACTCCCTCACACCTACCTCACATACATATTTCAATCTCACACACACACACACACACACAGCCTCACATATATACCTCACATCACACACACACACACACCACACGCACACATCTATCCCACACATGTATTCCCACAGCTGTGGTGTGGTGTATGTGTTTGGGATACGGTTATGATTAGTGACTGGGGACTTGCTTCCATGTTTGGAATTGCAGGTTTGCAGACGGGACTGCTCCCTCATGGGGCAGCACTGAGCCACCTGGTCTCAAGCTCTTGCTTTTCCAAGGACAGGAAGTGCTCACCACTGTAGGCCTTGGAAAGTTGAGGGAGATGGGATGCTCAAGGATACTGCTTTTGGGGCTGGGACTGACCTTCTTCAGGCTGCTCCGGTGGGGTGAGCTGTGTCCTGTCCTAACCCCTCTACCTGTGGATGTTGGTCTTAATTGGACATAGGGTCTTTGCAGATGTAAGCAGGTTAAGATGAGATCATACTGGAGTCCGAGTGGCCCTAAATCCAGTGACCAGTATCCTTAAAAGAGGAGAGGGAGGTTTGGACATGGAGACCTGGAGGAGACCCAGAGAGAAGGTGGCCCCGTGAAGAGGGAGGCGGACGTTGCCGAGGGCTGCCGGAGCCCCCACAGGCTGGAGGGAGGCCTGCACGGGATTCAGCCCCATGCCTTGATCTTGGGCTTGGGCCTCCTGAACTATGAGAATACATCACTGTTGTGTTAAGCCCCCCTGGAAACAGACTCGATTCCATGAGCATTTTTCGAGCCCCAGTTAAGTGGCAGCCACTGGTCGTGGTGCCAGGTGAATAGGATGACCTGGTTCTGCCTTCCTGGGACCCTCAGCCCAGGGACCCAAGACAAAAACTGGGAAAAGTATCTCACTGGCTGTCATCTGAGCCCTAAGGGAGGGATTCCAGCCTCCTTGGTGATGTGTCCTGGGGTTTGGGGATCTCGTGAGGAAGGGATTTTTCCAGAACAACCTTGTAGATTAGGGATGGGGGAGGGCAGACAAATGGCGGCCTGTGCAAAGGCCCAGGGGGCGAAAGGGCATGGTTTAAGGTTCAAGGTAAATGAGAGCATCCTGGACTCTCTCCTCTGAATCAGCTTTCAAATGGCCCGGGCTCCCCAGGTGCTGCTCCGGAGGTGGGGCTCTCTGCGGCCACCCCGCCGCACATTCCAGAGCTTGCTTTAATTAGCCTCACCTTTGGCCTCCCTGGCCGAGGCCCGAGTGGACTCCGCGTTCGCGTTCGTAGGCCGGGTTGGAATTATTCAAAAGCAGGAGAGGCCGCCCTTTGATCAGGGTCTGAGCGCCTCGCCGTGTTCTGGTGATCGTCAGCCTTGACAGGCTCGCTCTCCCCCCCCCCCCACCGGGAGGCGGGTGACCTCAGCCCCGGGGCTCCTGCCGCAGCCTCGCGGCCCTCGGCCTCCCCCGGCCCGGCGCCCGTGTGCGCTCCTAACCGTTTGCTGGAGAGTTCTAATTTCCACTTACACTGCCTGGCCGCGCAGGGCCGGTCCCCCGGGGCCGTGTTCGGCTGTTCTGGTTCCTCTCAAAGGGAAGCACCCGCGCCAGTTGCCAGCAGCGCTTCCCAGGCGGGCCTTGAAGTAAGGAATTCCTGGGTCCCGGGGTGGCCGCCCCTCTGGGCCGCGTGGCCCCCTTCCCGGGCTGGTCCAGCGATGGAGCTGGGCCGGGGCCCTGGAATGTTCTCACTCCCATGACTGGTTTTTGTTTCCCTGCTCTGCTCCCTGGGGGCCAGGAGGGCCGTGAATCACGAAGGAGCCAGCGCTGTCTTCAAAGGCTCCGACCCGGGCTTGGCGATGGCTCGGGAGGGGCGGCGGCGCGTCCGGAAGGCTCCAGGGACGGGCCACCTCCTGGCCCCTCGGCCCGCCGCCCCCGGGGTGCAGGACCTGCTGGCCCATGGCCCCCGAGCGACGGCCGCCTGGTCCCCGCAGCCCCCTGGACCAGGGCTGGTCCGCTGGGCCTGCAGGCGTGCATCTCGGGCCCTGTCCTCCCAGCCCGGCCCCTGCCCCCCGGCCACCCGGCCCCGCTCGGGCCTCCCGACTCGTGTGGCTGCTGTTCTGAGATGACAGTTCATGGGGACCTCTGGGAAGCTGGCTTTCTGTGGAGGTGTGTGCACGCACGTGTGTGCGTGTTTTGTAAAGGCAACAAACGTGGTTTTGAAGAAAGCAGCTGAATACCGAATATTGAACGTTACTCAAGTGCTTCCAGAGCAGTGGCTCTGGCCTCAGGTGACAAAGGGCCGAGGCTGGTTGCATCCTAGCTCCCAGGCCGAAGGGCTTGCAGCCAGGGCGCAGGGAGCAGAGGTGCTGCTCCGCAGCCTGCAAGTGTCACCAGCGTCGCTGTGCACAGAGCCTGGCGGGCGGCAAGGTGCGCGGGAAGTGGGCAGTCGGGGCTGGTGGAGGCCGCTCGCCGCCTTCTCTCCGTTTCTCTGTGGAGAGCGGGTGGCAGCTGTCGGAGATCTCACTGGTCGGAAGGACATCCGCGTCGGGCCCCCCCATCCTGTCCCCCCGGCCCCTGCCAGCCCTCCACGGACATGCTCAGGTAGGGTGAGGAGCCCAGCGTCCTGCAGCCCGAGCGCTCCTCTCCAGGGAGC